AACCTTTAAAACAAAACAATTTAGTTTATCTAATACCCTGTCTCCAATGATTATCAGGTCAAATATATAGGTCAAACTAGTAGAACAGGGGCAGTTAGACTTGTGGAGTCCTCAAAAATAAACTTATCCAACTTTTACTATCATGTGAGAAATGAACATATTGTACATTACTTTGTTTTAACCAAAATCTCTGTACTTTGAACTTAACCTCGTGTTTTGAATGAAAATATAGTTCTGCCTACAACTCTCCGTCTTCTCCACCATCTCAACTGCCATCGGCCAATTCTAATTACCTATCTTCTATTTCAAAATTTCGCAGGGACGCCATAATTTCTCCCTACGTTACCTTGGTCGACCTCTGGCAATATCGACATTGGAGAATTAAGACTGGATCAGTCTTCTTACAATACTTCCGGAGTCTGTTTAGTTAATTGTGGATTTTGGACATTGTAATAACCCAAGTAACAAATTTTAATATATTCTTCCAGTAACTGTACGGATTTTGTATTTTTTATTTCTATTCGAATCCGGTATATTAAGCTAGCTAAGTCTAAGGCCCGCCATAGACTAGCCGAGCATAAAAACCCAACAGCAAAATCAAGATTAGTTGACTCGAATAAGATAAGCAATCTGGAGAATAGTTCAGTCATAGCACTATGTGCAGTTACACACAACCATACAATAAGATGAATGGGATAGGCTGACAGTTTTAAAATCTAATGTCACAGGGTGGAGGGAGAGATTGATAACAGGAGCTTTGTTTATCGAATTAACTGCAAATACATGTAATAGGAATGATTCAACGCCTGTCCCAGATATCTGGAAAATTCTACTACCCCTACGACAACAAATAGGAGAGGACAAAGAAAACTATAAAACTCAAGTTTCAACGTCGTGTGATTACAATTGATGAAATGATTATGAACAATAAATTTTGTTCGAAACCTTGTCATCCAGTAAATAATAATCTTGCACTGTGTGATTCACCTAGTAAACAAACTAATATGGAATTACTTAATACCATAGTGCCCAAGTTTTACACTTATATTTATTGAATTGTCTACATATACACACAAATATTACCACCATCGTTATTCTTATCGCCACCTGCATAAACCTTATCATCATAATTTTGTTCAAAACATTTACCACACTATTATTATTATTATTATTATTTGATCCCCGAAATCACCGTCATTGGTTAAAGTGTTTATATATATAGATCTATGTAAATTAGAGTAAAGCCTGAATAGGATCTAATTGAAAACTGTAATATACCATGATAATGATGGGAAAGATAATGTTAACAGCGGAGAGAAGATGAATATTGACAGTTATCCGGTGTCACAGGAAGAGATAACTAGTTTAGGCTTGGGTTAGAGGTCATGGGAGGGAGAGAGGAATTAAACAGACTTTTTCTGAACACAAAGACTGAGTTGAATATTTTCTTAGAAGTAATCTTGAAATGTCTTCAACAGTACGACGTGCGATGCCCAAGACGTTGTCAACCTCATTCAGCAGCTGTATGATAATGTCATGTGTCAGGTGATCCAAGACAGAAAAATCAGCGAGACATTTGAAGTGGTTACAGGAGAAAGACAAGACTGTCTGCCTACTATCACCGATGACATTTCTAATTTTGGTGGACTACATTATGTGGAAGTCTGGGAGTTAAGAACGAGAAGAAAGGAATACGTTGGACTGATGAGAAGACACCATCTGGAAGATATGGATTTCGCATGTGAATGATTTATGTCTAACGTCACAACAGACTCGAAGACCATCAAACTGGTTGAAGAAGTAGCCAATGAAGACAGGACACTTCGGGGTGATGAAGATCACTAACCAACAGCAATAACAACAACCAGTACCAATCACCATCATCGGGGGAGATTTAAAAGAGGTCACCTTCTTCACTGATTAAGGAAACACAGTCTCAACAACAGCCACCGGTACGGATGAAGATGTCAAAGCCAGCCAGAATCGGGAAGGCAAGATACGCCTTCATCAACCTGAAACCAGTTTGGTTATCTTCTACACTCCATCTCAGCATAAGGAGCAAGATTGGCATTTTCGACACAAATGTGAAGTGAGTTAAAATGTGTTTCTATGTGGGTTAGAAACTTGGAGTGTGTCACGAAAAGGATTTCCAACCCTTATTCTTTCCTGGTTTGCTTAAAAAGGACACAATTCGTAGAATGCTGAAGACTGTCAGTAGGATGAGTGGTGTCCTAGTGGACTACATAGTTAACGTCGTTGTCGATAGGCATTTGACTTCGTGCAGTAAATTTGCTAAAGGGATTTTGTCTGACTTGGAGCATCCACTTCACCCTCAGCTTTCACCTTGCATCTCCTCAGGTAGAACAAGAAGTAACTTCAGAAAACTGTATGCTCACACGTCTAAGTATCAAAATTCAATGATACCATACTTGGCACGTATTTTATGTGATGAAAATAGCGTCAGGCAAGAATTGACTAACCTTTTTTCATCTAGTAAATAAACAATCTCCTCCATCCATCTTTATATACCTTCAAGTTTCACTTTTATTATTTCTATTATATTTATGGTCCTGTTGATTCTTTGTTTTCACTTTCATAACTGCAAACACCAACTTATCTCTGTGACTGCTGTAATCTTTGTTTTTTCCCTCACCAAATCATGTAAAGAGAACATCATATTCAATATTATTAATCATGCAAGGATTTGTATACCGCATCGACAGTACTGTGTGAAACAAGCCCACGGCAATTTCCACTTGTATTATTATCATTACCTTAGCTGCTATCATTATTATTATTACCATTTTATATGCTGCATGTTTTTTATTTTTTTTATATTAACCCTATTGTAAATGTAGAAAAATTTTCTGTGTGATTAATTTTATTTATAATTTGAGGAAATTAGATGCAATATTGTGATTAATGCTGAAAATTCCATTCTGTATCACAAGTACTGTTTTTGGAATAAAGTAAATCATTATTATTATTACTGTAGAAGTTTATGAACAGTTGCCCACTTCACGGGCTCTGTACTGAAGATCAAGTGACAAGCCAACGAAGAGCCGATCGCTCAGCAGACATGTAGGAGAAAATGGCCGTGAATCGGGTATACGTTGGGCAGACTGTCAAATGACACCGCGCGCCAGGCTATCACTCGAGGGAAATCCCAATGGAAAATGATGAGTTGGATGATGGTATGAGGGTGATATGTAGGAAATAAGAGGTTACAGGCAATTGTGGACCAAGATGAAGAGAAGGGCAGAAAACAGAACGAAGTGATGTGTCGTTAAGCCCCATGTCCCACTCGGACCAAGGGAATAATAATAATTTTGGTGATATAGCTGAAAACAGTTCTCAGTAGCTTGGATCATCTTATTTAATTATTCTTCCCAACCATCCACCCTATATTTTCGTTTATCGCACTCCGATTCAATTCATTTCCACTACCTGTATAGTTGCCTCACATTTCCCTCCACTATAGTTCCTTTGAACACTTTTCTCTAACTTGTGCATTATGTGTAGTATGACAACTTGAACTGTTCCATCTTTCTGAAAAGTTCTACACTGAAATTTGTTTTCCCATCTCCTTCTCTCTTTATCATTCCAGGATATATTTTGTGCAACAGACGGCAATCAGTGGAAGAGACTGGATCAAGTAGTACCGAGATTGAAACCTCATCTACCATCTGGTACTTTGGTTTGGGGACAACCAGTTAATGAATACGTTGTGAAGATGACTTCCCCTCAATTACTAATTTGTGTGTGTGTTTGCGTCCCTGTGTTTCCGTTCGTTAATACGGACCACATAAATATTATTTAGGTGTCAATTACCCAGTACTGGGCTGTAAGCCAAGTTGTTGTGAGTGGGTGGGCTAAGGATACATACTACTCAGATGACCGGGTTGAAGTGGAATTGCAACAGGTCCCATTAGCTGGAAGTCAAGTGCTAAAGCCAATTGTTGGTATTAGATGGTTGGAGGCGATCGGCAGGAAGCCTTGGACCTAGGTTTCGCGCTAGTTGGCACTCATCAGCAAGGCGTATCTGCAACCTTGAAGGAACTGATGTCCCTTCTGAGATTCGAACCCGCTAGCATGGTGGCCAAATTGCAAACATGACTGATAGAATTCAGTCTGCACCGAAGATAGGACTAGACGCATTACACTAGTTACTGACTAGTGTGCAATCAAAAATAGCTAAAGCCAATGCATTATATCTCCACCGGATAGTTCTCGACTGGAAACCCACTTGGTGCATACTGCTGGACAGGCACAGACCACAGAAAAAGTATGTCTCTCCTTAAATATTATCCAAAATCACACACGCATACACACACACATGGTGAACGGTTACAACTATCCTAATTTGATAACGGATTGATATCAGTCAGAGAGTCAGGGAGCGGGAGTGAAGACAAATGTTTTTCTGTCTAGTCCAAGACTCTTCAGGAACTATTACGCACATACGCCACATACTTCTATGTGGATAACATACTGAGCTGTGTAGATTAACAAGCACACTCCTTTACTGCTTACTTACACATTTCAGTCAAAGACTTCACTCATATACATACGCATGTGTAAAAGAAAGATAGGACTAGACACATTACACTAGTTACTGACTAGTGTTCAATCAAAAATATCCAATACAGTCCTACAGGAGGTCAGTCGCGAGCCTGAATAGCTCAGTGGTAACGTCTCTGACTGCGGCTCTCACTGGGTGACGCGGGTTCGAATCTCAGAAGGGACATCAGTTCCTTCAAGGTTGCAGATACACCTTGCTGATGAGTGCCAACTAACACGAAACCTAGGTCCAAGGCTTCCTGTGGCCGATTGCCTCCAACCATCTAATACCAACAATTCATAGTGCACCGTAATGGCGAGCCACCTAGCATGGTGACCACATTGCAAACATGACTGATAGAATTCAGTCTGCACCGAAGATAGGACTAGACACATTACACTAGTTATTGACTAGTGTTCAATCAAAAATAAAGAAAATATTAATGATATCATTCTATTATTATTACAAATATGAAGAGTAGAAATGATGATGACGATGATGATGCTGGCTGGACGAAACAGTTTGTACAAACCAGTCAAAACACTTGGGAGAAAGACAAAGAAAGAAAGAACCAATGTCAAGTGGTAGACATTAATATAAATTCGGCATTCTCTTGAAATGATCGATAACAGTAGTCACATCTGGACAATACAACATTTGCTCTGATTTCCACGGCAATTTTGTATACTGTGTTTCCCTGGAGAATGATAGAAAGAAACATATATACACAAAAAAGAAGACATTAGTTAGAAGTCATTCATCACTCGGAAGAGGTTTGCTAATTTATCATGCAATGAACAACAACACGTAGATTGGGTGACATAGATGTCTGATGACGCCAACAACCTGTTAGCACTCCCAGACTGATGTGGGTGAGTCAGACAGACTGCGTGAAAATTGAGCGACTAAGCTCCAGTGCCGTTAGAAACTACTCAAACAGTCACCAGATGATAAGGTCGGCCTCAAATGAGCGAAACGATCGTCTGATATTTAGATTGCCTCGATTTAGTTGGCTGGCTAGCAAAACCACTACTACTATGGTAACGACAGAAGACAAGGGCCAGGCAACAGATCCCTTATTGAGAAAATCAACAGATATTTATAGATTTTTATGTACATTATTCTTAGCGGAGAAGCAACCGCTTCTTATCGACTGCTTTTTGCTGAGGGTTATTCTGTTATCTCTTTGTGGCCGTTTCTCAGAAAATCAAGCCATATATCTGCGAAACACATTTGCACACGTTAACTCCCCTCTCATTCTCTCAAGATCAACCTTTGTTATTGTTTTTCATCATGACCCCGATTCGGGAAGTAAACATTGACGTAAAGTGTTGTCTACAATTTTCGGCTTGCAGTCAGCTCTCACCACGCTACTACTGCTGCTCGTTGATGTGAGCAGTGTACAAATTACTCATCTCAACCAATCAGTGGCGTATTGCCTTATGCAGATATGCTTGATCACCATTGATTACCATTTATGGTAAGTCAAGCAGATCACATACTCTGTGTGATTTCAGTAGTCCACTTTACAAAGGGAGGTCAGTCGCGAGCCTGAATAGCTCAGTGGTAACGTCTCTGACTGCAGCACTGGGTGACGCGGGTTCGAATCTCAGAAGGGACATCAGTTCCTTCAAGGTTGCAGATACGCCTTGCTGGCTGATGAGTGCCAACTAGCACGAAACCTAGGTCCAAGGCTTCCTGTGGCCGATTGCCTCCAACCATCTAATACAGACAATTCACAGTGCACCGTAATGGCGAGCCACCTAGCATGGTGGCCACATTGCAAACATGACTAATAGAATTCAGTCTGCACCGAAGACAGGACTAGACACATTACACTAGTTACTGACTAGTGTGCAATCAAAAATACCAAAGGGAACTATGCCGGATATTCACCTGTCGAACTGTGTACATCGCAAATTGTGAATTTGCAGTCGACAGTTGTAGTTGAATAAAGCAAGAACGAAAGTGGTTTGTGCAGAATAATATGGTACCATCATTTATTTCGTAGGCTTCTCATCAGCTGCTTACAGCCTAAATAAATTATGAGGTTTGCGTACAGAAAAGTTTTAACATACTTGCAAATTTTTACATGTTGCCAGTTGACAAAAAGTTCCACAGTAAGTGAACAGTGCTCAGAAAATTGCGCTTAAATAGTTTTTACACATGCAGTTCAAGTTTAAACAAAATAGATGTATGCATACAATGGTAAAGGAGTTACGTAATAAAGACAAAATATGAGTTAGATACAGAGTGACTAATAAATTAGGTAACAATGTACTGAGTTCAACTCAAATCATAGAAACAAGAGACAAGCAAAATTACAGAATATAAAAGGGGGTGAGGTTAAAGAAAAAGATTACGTAATCAGATGAGAGAATAAAGACATTCAGTTACCAGGGCAAAGAGAGATTAATAACTGCTTCTTTCTGAACACATAAATCTGGTTTCAAGCGTTTGATAGAGATTGCTTCGGCAAACTTGAGGAGAATGGAACTCCTTTGTCTATTGATAATTTTAAAGGATTTCTCGATTTCTACCTCATGACCCGTGTCGAGAAGATGTCTAGTGATAGCGCTGCTATAAGAGTTTGTTCCCTTGAGACGTAGGCTTCTTGGCACATGTTCAGAAAATCGGAGGTGTGCTCTTCTTTCTGTTCTCCCAATGTAACTGCTCCCGCAGATACACGTAAATTTGTATACACAGTTGGAGTTAACATGAGAAGGGTATCTATCGACTTTTGACTGCACCAAAGAGCATGTTGTTCGATGGACGGGAACCAACTTAGCTGCAGGATAGGCTCTGGCTAGTGATGTACTCAGTCTTCTGTTGACCATTTCTGCAATGTTTTCACCTTTAAAATCTAGTTGAATGAAGACAGGCTTTTTTTCAACTGTGATTTGTTTGGTATTTGAGTCTTCACATCTTCCATATTTGTTTATGAATCTTTGAGGGTAACCGTTATTTTTCAGCACCTTTTCGAGGAACATAAATTCTTCCTCTAGTTTCTCTGTAGAGCATATTCTCCTTGCTCTATAGTACAGAGTCTTGACTAGTGCTCGTTTATAGCTATTTGGATGCATGAAGTTGTAGTTGACATGTGAAATGCCAGTTAGTGAGCAGAAGGGAGAAAAGTATCTGTGACATTATGAACTATCGTCATTTCATCAATATTCACCAGATGGCAGACAACATTCCACATTCAAAATGTTGACAACCTTTTTCATATATGGCCAGTTCCCCGTTTGTTTGTTTGTTTGTTTTCTTTTCAGCAAAGAATGAAGGAACATATTTTTTAAGGATAATACGAGTTCATTTTATTTTGTGGATTCTCTTCAACACAAAGCAAAGCATGGTTGCTTCGATCCACAGGAGGCATTCCTAGCAAAAGACGCTTCCAATCAACTTGTGTATATGAAGAGAGAGCGCGACTGATCTCTCACTAACCATAATGACTGTAATTGTTTTGTTCATGTGCTGCTGTGTGGTTTGTTTTGTTGAGAAACATTCCACGTAGTTTTGATTTTCACTTAATGAGCTGAACTCAACATCAACCTTATGGGTAAATTTGTTTCACAGTGTTTTGTCTCACAGTGTTATACAGTAATGTTTACTGATGACGTTTCGAGCACAATTTATTGCTCATAATCATATCAAGGTAATCACACGACTTCCTAAATTCATTTGTATAGTTCCATTGTTTTTCACTTGATTTGATTGGTAGTAGTATTTTCCATATTTCGGGTATGAGTGATGATTCATTCCTATTGCATGTGTTGGGTGTAGATTCGATGAACAAGGATTCAGTAATCAACCTCTCTCTCCACCTACCTAGATTACTTTTTAGAATTTTAACCCTCTCCCACCATGCTATTGTGTGGTTGTGTGTTAATGCATGCATTGCAATTGCTGAGCTTTTTTCTAAATTACTTATCTTCTCTGGGTCAACCATTCTAACCTTAGCTAGATTCTTATGTTCTGACAGTCTGACTACCCCTGACCTATTAGTTTGGCCTATGTAGTTGACCTCACAGTCATTGCAGGGTATTTTGTAAATTATATTATTCTGTCTAATTGGGTCCACTGGGTCCTTTAACCTACAGAGCTTGTCCCTGAGTGAGTTTGTAGGTTTAAATGCCACCCTAATTCCTGCTTTATTTAGAATCCTACGTAGGGTCTCAGATATCCCCTCTTTATATGGTATAACTGTAGATGACTTATATTCTCTCTTATTTATGTTGTTATTACTAGTTTCAAAATTATTTTTATTTTTATTTTGGCCTTTTTCAATCTTCCTAATGAATTTTAGAGGAGAACACAACCACATCAAAATCATCCACCTGAGCTACAAATCTTCTCTATCATTTCTAAATCTTACGAGCGGGAGGATAGTTATTTAAAACCAACGCCTCTTCTATCTGTTTTATTTCATCATTTAGGTCTTTTTTTGTGCTACTTATTGCTATTGCTCGGTTTGTTAAACACTTAACTAAGCCTGCCTTAACAATTAATGGATGAGATGAATTAAAGTCTAAATATCTATTAGAATGCGTTGGTTTTCTATAAACGCTAGTGTGCAGTCTACCTTCTCCTATTCATTTTATTTCACAATCTAACACAGTTAATTCTCCTTGTTCATTTCCCGATTCAAATGTGAATTTTGTTCCCTCTTCTAGTGAGTTTATGTGTGTCAAGAAGCTAGAGATATGTTCTGTTTTTAACACTGTGAAAGTGTCATCCACACATCTCCACCATATTTTTGGAGTAGGATTAAACGTATTAAGTGCCATATTTTCCCAGCTATCCATAAATATATCTGCTACGATAGGGGATATTGGTGATCCCATTGCTACACCTTCAGTTTGTCTGTATATTTTGCCTTGGAATTTAAAGATAGTAGATGTGAGGCAAAACTGAATTCCTAAAATAATTTCTTCAATGGACAGCTTTGTCCTATGATTGAGTTCAGTATCTGCAGTTATTTCTTTTTTAACTGCTTCTAAGGCCATATTGATTGGTATGTTAGTATGAATAGGAATAGGAATGACTCATCATTCATACCCGAAACATGGAAAATACTACTACCAATCAAATCAAGTGAAAAACAATGGAACTATACAAATGAATTTAGGAAGTCGTGTGATTACCTTGATGTGATTATGAGCAATAAATTGTGCTCGGAACGTCATCAGTAAACATTACTGTATAACACTGTGAGACTTTATCAAAATAAAATTTACCCATAATGGAATTACACTCTACAACGGTGCACAAGTTTTATTTTTATATCAACATCAACCTTCCAAACTTATTTACTTGTTTCTCTATGTCAAAACTTTAATATTTGACCTCAGCGTCTTAAACTGTTCATCATAACATGGATCTATTCACTCTATTATTCCATCTTGTATTATGTCTCTCTATTCAATCCTTGTTTCCGAGCTAAATCTGAACTGTACCCAACTTCTCTCTAATTACACTGTAAAATGTTAGTCTTTTAACACTGATTAGTTTTGCAAGTTTGACTACGGATTGATATCAGTTTTCTTTTATTCCTTCACGTTCCTAGTGGAACATAGAGCTTCAAGCTAAAGGCTCGAAGTTTCGATAGCAATGGTGTTTATTTTTACAGGATGCGGTTGCTAGCCTCATCCCCAACCTTCCCTCTCTACCAGTCTTATTACTGATGGCCGGCGATCAAACCCCGGACCACATGAGGCGTGATGTGCAAGCATTCTACCGCTGCGCCCCCGACGCACGATATTGGTTAAACAGCCATTTGAAAAAAGAGTTCTGGACAGCTGTTTCGTCCTAGCTTGTGACACATTGACAGCAAGCACCCACACACCGGGTTTCGAAACTAAGACCTTCCCGTTATAAGGCAACCTCGATGACCAATTAGCTGGAGGTTAGAATTCATGGGCCATTTGATCGGGTCCAAGTCGCTTACCTTATAACTGGAAGTTCTTAGATTCGAAACCAGGTGGGTGGGTGTGTGCCACAGACGATTCCAGCAGTAGGACTCTCTCTAACTGACATCAATCCATAGTCAAATTTGGAAAGAAAAATAGAATCCCCACAATTTAACTATTGGAAACCTGAATAATTTATATGCTTATATCATTTCTTCAAATTACTTTGTTTATACTTTCCATTTATAAGTCGAACTCACTTTTAAGAGAACCACTGAAAAACATCCAGGGAGTACTGGACAACTGTTTCATCCTAGTTCGGAAATCATCAGCAGTACGAACCCACCGCCAACGTTAGAACCCACGACCTCCCGGTTATGAGGCAAGCTTGTATACTATTCAGCCACTAGGACTCGATTCAATGGCCAGCCCATGAATTCTAACTTCTACCGATTCTACCTGGGGACACCCGGTCGACAGTGACGACAAATACTCGCCGGAGATGGAATTGGCTGGTGCCAGTCACGCTGAAATGACGAAATGCTGTTAGTTGGTTGAATGGTATACGAGCTTGCCTGAAGACCGGAAGGTGTTGAGATCGAACCGTGGCGGTGGGTGCATACTGCTGATGATTCCCGAAACTAGGATGAAACAGTTGTCCAGTAGTCCAGTACTGGTTTCAATAGTTCTCTAAGTGATATCAATCCGTGGTTAAACTCGATAAAATGAATTTAATTCTTACAAACCACCTCTAGACTTTGAAAAGAGTATGCTAAGAGATTTTGCAAATTATAATTTGATTTACTGAGGATATGCCTGGCTGAGGAGAATCCACAGAATGAAACGAACCAATGTTATCCTGCCAATGTGTTCCTTCTCTTCTGGTTGATAAGCAGACAGGAGTGTGGAATTGGCACTGGCGGATGTTTTATTTTCATTCTAGGCATAGTTGTCAATTAAATTTTGCAAGGGATTGAAATATACTTATTTATTTATTTATTTTGATTACAGCTTGATGCCACACCGTATTTTCAGTACAAGTATGGAACTTTCAGCATGGATATCGGTAGCCCAAATTTCGCAGGCCAACCATAGATATCGGGTGTGCGTCGGCAGGGGATCGAACCTCGGACCATGTGCATGGTCAGCGAGAGTCCTAACCACTGTGCCACCGACGCTGATTGTTTTTAAGTGTTGGTGAGTAGAGATTTGATTGGCTTTCTGTTTTAACATGGATTCATACTGTGGTGAGAGCCAGACAAAATTGTAGACAACAATTTACGTCAGTGTTCACGTCCCAAATCAGGGTCATGAGAAGAAACAATAACAAAGCTTAACCCTGGAGGAACTCGACAACCAATCACAGAGGACTTAACGTGTGCAAATACGATTCGCAGATATATGGTTTAACTTCCTAAGAAATGGTCACAAACATTATAGAATAATCTTGAGCAAGAAGACAACCAATCAGAAGACGTTGCTCCTCTGCTAACAATAACGCCAATAATAATGCACATAAAAATCTATAAATATCTGTTGATTTTTTCAATAAACAATCTGTTGCCTGGCCCTTATCTTCTGTCATTACAAATGACTATGAGAATGATTGAAATCCATGGAACACCTGGTTCGGGACTCTTCAGCAGTACTTACACCCACCACCTCAACTTAGCGGATATAACCAGACACCTTCAGGTTGCAAAGCGAGCTTGTCTACCATTCAGTCGCTGGGACGAAATCGAGTGAATAATGAACTCTAATTTCGGTCAGTTCGCCACATATATATTCACATACATAAATCGTGATTGTTAATCAAGTAGTTCTTCTCGCATCCCATCTGGTCAACCACTGTGATCATGATTTCTCACTATCTACAATGATAAGTGATTCATCGCTAACTCAACAACATCGAGAGTCAATATACCACATTCGTAGTGTAAATGTTGACGATATTTCCTCGGTAGAAAGAGTTATAGTCTAATCTGTGACACATAAAGTGGCTAGAAGGGAAGTGCCTAAAACAAAATAGCCACAACCTCAGGATTATTTAGTTGAACAAACCTGCAGGTGTTTACATTGAATCCTACTACTTATTATTACTATTTCAGCTAACTATTCTCCGATGAGTCGTGTTGAATTGGGTGGGTAAGGGAGAGGCGGAAAAATGAAGATTATGTCATGAAGATACAACACCCTCGACCTACACACCATTATGAGCTGGGAAAAAAATACGACCATCCCACACACACATACGCACACACAAAACTCACGTGAATGTAAGTTGTTCACTTTTGGGTAAATTGAAAGTCGACTCTGAAGTGGATCGATTGAAGTAGTACAACTTCCCTGTACTTCGACTGATTGCTTCTATCCAATTCTCTGTATTCAAAGAAAAGCACATACACACAAACATACATGCAACAATCATCAAATGAAGACTCAATTGATGAAAATGAAAACAACGATAGGAAGAGAATACTTGCTTGAGACTTGCATCTTAGATGTTGAACACCTTTCGGAAATCGTAGGCATTACATGTATTCTGATCTAAAATCAATGAACACCTGTTCACAGAGTTGGTAGGATGCAAATACCGTACCTGTAAATTCAACAATAATTAGTCCTTAACAGGGATTTAAATAGCCTGACTACAAAGAGGAGATTATCTGACAAATGTGTCATCGTATTCAGTCTGTAGAAAAGGAATAATTGTTTGGAAAATACCGACTGAATGATCTAATCACAATATCTCTGATTATTTGGATGTTTGAACTAACTCTGTATGTATCACTGTTCTGCATGCCATATCATATGTTAGCTTGATCCTTGTCAGTTTTCTCTTTCCCTTTTCAATGTGATTTTGTTTGAGTGAATCAGGGTGACTCTGACCTTGAACTGTCTGCGCGACTTGTTTGGTGTGTGATTCTTGCTGATAGAGATTAGAGACCACTTTAGTTCTAAGTTACGCCTTACAGTTGAATTTCGGATAACTAATTTTCTCCTACAGTACTTGTTTCTTTGCACTATAGATCGGTCGGTCGGTCGGTCGGTTTTCGACATAGAACTTTGCACTGATGTGCGCCAGTTTAAGTCGCCACACTCCCTCCTTGTAGCACACAAAGAAAGAGAAGAAAGTAGAAGAAATGCATAATATAGACAGTAAACAGAGGTGTGAGACAAAGGAATAGTAATAACGGAGAACAAAACAGTTTAATTGGAAATCATGAGTCACAAAGAGAGGACGCATCTGCGCCAGCCATTGAGAACGATTTTGAGCCATGTCACCAATTGTTTCCAACCATTGGTTTTTACCGTCCCGAGGACCCCAAACAGGAAGTTTACACCTTCCTACGTGGTTGGCTTAGACTAACTGTTGTGGATTTCATTGACTGGTGCCATGTTTTGATTTGACCGCCGCTAGCTCTTTTCCAGCCTGGCGCTATATCAACTAACATTAGCGATAACTAGGCATATATAGCACATGTCCTAACCATCTCAGTCGATGTATTTTCACAGTCTCGTCGACTTATTTCCCCGCCTAACCTAGAACTCGACGCGTAACCTCAATATTGCTCACCTTATTATACCACTTCACGCGGCAGATAGAAGGCAGAAACCTATGATCAAAGACAGCTAATCTTTTCGTGTCTTCTGCTCTCAATGGCCAGGTTTCACAGCCATAAAGGAGGACGGAGCGGACTGTTGGGCAGTACACACACTTGCACTATAGAAACTTATCGGAGTGCACTGTTGACGTAATTTTGAATAGTACCATAGATCTAACGGTAAATAACTGTTTTTGTATTGTCTGTGTAGCATTTCGTGATAGTACATCTCTGAAGAGATTTTCGATGAGCTATATGATAGCAGGAAGCAAAGATCAATTCCCCACGTTCAGATAACAACAAGTCCGTTTTCATCGTTACAGTCTGATCGCTAATACTTACTTGTCAAATCAGTTTACGTGAAACCTAAGTGAAAACTGTCAAATGATTCAGGAATATGAGGGATCATAATAACACTACTCTCGATCATATCGTTAGATGAGGAATAACAAGGTGAGTTAAGGCTAATAATAATAGATAGTTGTTGTGCACACAGTAGGTGAAGGGCTTTAATTTTACGAATAGCTGTGTCACCTCAGCGTATTTCAATATGCGCCACTGACTGTTTCCATTCAATAGATGTGAAAGCTGTTTCGATATCAATTAAGTGTCTGACCACAGATGAAGTGTGTCAGTGATTCGAAGGTAGAATACTTGTGGCGGCCTAAAAACATATCAAATTATATGTTCACCGAAAAACAAGGAATCCAATGAAAATCGTGGTTGTTAGGTGAGATTGAAAGGAACTCAACCTTGGACCGCGCGCAAGGAACGAATCGGTTGCTCTCTCTCCGGCGGCTCGCTCAGCACATCTGCCGACCAACTCTGTCTCGCACTGATTGACACATCCACATCAAGAGCTTTGCTCCTATCTGCTTTTCTCTACGCGGAGACCTCCGACGGTTGACAGCTCTAAGGTGTAGTGGAAGATTTGTATAATCAAGAAAAGGACAATTTCATTCCTATAATTTCGTACGTCTATAATTTGTGTATTTTGTGACTATTATAGTTTTTCTTCAAACAACCTCAGTTCTTTTTGTGTATATTAACTTAGGTGAACTGAATATCTTATATATATGTATTTCGTAGTACCTGTTCTGTCCTTTTAATTGTGTGTATAGACTTACTTAGCTGCTAGGTCCACTACATACTTACTAACCATGAATGCGGTTCAATGTTCGATCCACGGCCGACGATGCATCACTATACTTCGAGTAGCTACTGACAAAAAATGGCTGAGAGTAGAGTTAGAAACCTTACCCCGTGAACACCATTGGTACTGAGACTCCAAAGCTGAAGCATGAAGCTCTACGTTCCACGCAGAACGCAACAGAATAAAACTAAAACATTTTTCAAGAAATAGAGACGAAAATGGAAGTCTATCACCCCTATGTTAATCGAGGACCTACAGTTCATTCATTTTCCCATTCATTTCAGCAAATGTTCTTACAACCTCAAGTGCAAAGCGCAAATACACGTCCCTATGTATGTGTGAGCACACACGCACAAATACACACATGTAAATTGGTGACGGATTTTAGGCTCCCTAAGATTTGACTATTGATGAACGTACATCATTCGAGCATTACGCCGATACAGTTACAGATAAGAGAAAGGATGATATAATTACGAAACTTGACCACAGTAGATACATAGATACTTCAATTTACAGTTAGTCATGAAGTAGGCAAGACTTTCTAATCACAGCAATGTATGTGAAGAGTTATCAACAGTCAGTCAGTCAGTCAATCACATTGTACAGGATTACGCACACAAGATAAAACTACCACCATCTCATACGTTTTTTGATGAATTCACATGCTTATCAAAAAAAAGATGAGTTCATGAACCTAGATGCAGGGAGATCCAACTTCTACCGACTATTTTTCGATTGTTATTTCATTGCATTAGATTATTTACGATTGATTCAAAAAGGCGGAATTATAAAATAAAATCAATAGAAAAGATGAAGAGATGCTAAGTGGTGAATAATGTGACAAGTAAGAAAGTTTATGTCTTGAAAATGTGAAAAAAATTCCAAATACTAATGCGTACAGTTATTAAGCTTGAAAAATTCACCTACCTCTCATATGTTGAACTAACAAGACAGAATTCGGTTGAAATGTGAAACCATCAGGGAGACGATGCATTGGCACAGGTACTGGAGAATCTTTACACGGGAGAATCGGCAGTCTAAGGAGACAAATTAAGCATATTTATTGATTAGAATTTACTAAAATATAAACATGCCACATTATTGGCACCAACAAAGATGTCCCACACAAAATCTATTTAGTTCATGCGAGGTCTTGGATACCGAGTTGAAACGCTGATGATAATGAAGAATGGCGGTTGGCTAAGGGGGACATCCCACTTTAACCTCTCACTTGAACACCAGTCAATATTATAATCAACAAGTCGAAAAGAAAACCGATTCAAACAACTTCTAATATAGATAAGCTGCAGCTCAACTTTGCTACACAAACGGTTGAGACTTCTACGTCAACTGAAAGACGAATTACCTAGGCTAGCTGCCTCTCCTCCTTCTATCCACCAATTGAACTGCTTCCATGGAGTCAGTAACTGATATTCGACGTTGCTCTAGGAGAACTTAGTTTATAGTGCACCGAAACACTAACCAGCGTAGTGAAAAAAAAAACAACAGCGAAAGATGCAGTGGAAATCAACACTACTTCAATATCAGATCAACTGGTCCATAAAACTGGTCATAAAGCCAATATGGAGGAATCTTTCCCCATCGCCGACAGAGTATGAAAGGCCGTTCTATACTGATGAATACTCCAAACTGCAGAGGTCATCGCAATTCGCGTAAAACAATCACAACTCTGTATGCTGTGCTACTCTGACCTCCTGTGGAGCCTACTGATTCAAACAGTCTGCATTACTTTTCTTAATTCTATCTGATATATTCAATTTAGCGTTAATCATTCCACATGCTGTTAGACCCCCTGATTTATTAGTTCAATTGTTTCAATGTTGTTGTTGTTTTTATTTAAATTGTTGTTTATGACATTAATTCGTTTAGTGTACTTTGTTCATCGATCTCTCATCGACCATCTCTCTCTATCTCCCTTTCAACCACACACACACACACACACCTACTCCATACAAACAGACACACTGACACTTTGTGAACTGTCTACTCACAGCATAATTGAACAAGCAAGCTTATGTGCACACATACACACACATCCAATGTGATATGTGAGTTTCACATGAAAAGCATATGTAACAGAGTTAAATCACAGTGATCCTTGCTTTCTTTTCAGTTCTTACATGCAAAGATAATCTGAAACATGGACACCTTGGTACCTGAGAGAGAGAGAGAGTGTGTGTCAAATCAATTGAGATGCTGTGTACAACACATACTAGATATAATAGAGAAGATTTGTAGCTCAGGTGGATGATTTTGGTGTGGTTGTGTTCTCTGAGCTGGATGGTTAATTTGCGAAGCTTTCATTGCTCTACTGAGCAACATCTTCAGCGCATACTTCGATGTGAAGTGAGCTTTTAGAATTCTCTATGAGTTTATTAGTCATCTCTTCTAGTAACCCTGAACGTGATTGGTTGTTTTCGTGTGACATTTCACCCCCTAGTTTGCTTGTCTCGGTGCTGGCTGCTTCTTTGGTCTGAATGTCGTTAGTCATCCCTTCTGCTAACCTTGAACGTGATTGATTGTTTTTGTGTGACTTCTCACTTTCTAGTTCACTTGTTTTGGTGTTGACTGTTTCCTTGACCTGAAGTTTGACTTTGTTTTTGTGTGAATTTCTTCGTATGGATTGGTATATTTTGTCAATCTCTATGTGTCTATTGATTGCTGATTCATTTGAATACCAGGCCTCTAGAAATTCTCTGGCATTTTTGCAGTTCCCTTTGTCTAAGATTTGAACATTGTCCCAGTCGAATTGGTGCCCGTGGTTGTCTGCATGTAGTGATATGAGGGAGTGTATGTCGTGTCTTTTGACAGCTAGTTTGTGTTCGTGAATGCGAAGACGAAGAGGGCGTCCACTTTGACCAATGTAATGTTTGTCGCAGTCGTTGCAACTTATCTTGTAGATGACGTTGGTTTTGTCTTCTTTTGCCGTTGAGTCCTTTGGTTTACATAGAACTGAGTGTAGTGACTTTGTTGGTTTATGAGCGACATCGATTCCAAAAGGTTTGAATAGTCTTGCAGTGATTTCGGAGATATCTTTTATATATGGTAGGACGACTTTCTTTGTGTTTTCGCTGGTGGCCTTTGATTTGGTTGGTTGAGCTGGGGGTAGACGTCTTTTGATGAAGTTTCGTGGGTATCCATTTCTTTGGAAGACGTCCATAAGATGATTTTCTTCAATTTTCCTCAAGGCGGGAGTGCTGCAATGAGTCCTGGCTCTCTTGAACAATGTACGTATGCAGCTAATTTTGTGTGATGTTGGGTTGTTACTGTTGTAATTGAGTATTTGATCCGTGTGCGTTGGTTTTCTGTATACTTGGGTTTCTAATTTTCCTGTAGTTGTTCGTTTGATTAAGACGTCTAAAAATGGGATTTTGTTTTCATATTCTTCTTCTCTTGTGAATACTATGCATGTAACTCTGCATAGACCATGGGGCAAAATAATCATGCTAACTAGTAGATTTCGAGAAGTCACAGGCCATATTTCTCACACCTCTATTTCACAAATCATCTCGGCAGCATCGTTTCAACTATGGACGAGAGCATAACAAGAATCACAAGGACAAGAGAGAATTTCATCATTCGGAAATCAGTTTGGAAATCTCCTGCATCAAATCAGTATACAGAAAGAAATTAGAATTTTGCACACCAATGTTAATTCAGTCAGTTCTTCCACAGGGGTGAGGCGCTGGTCCTGAGCGTCATGAAGGGCATTTCCAACAACAGGCTACAGAATTCCATCAATAGCTGTCTTCCCTAGCTCTATATTGCAGATCAGATGGCCAGCCAGCCAAACAGACAGAGAGAATCAACTAGAAGAAACTCTGTGAATCAACCAGCCAAGAAGCTGTCGCCTAACAGATATTTAGAAGAGAATGTAAAGGAACTGGGAGCGCCACAAGCAGACCGTCGGGTGCTATCGTCCCGACCGATAGCTGCTACCTTGACGTGGTGGTCGGGCTTGCACATCGCGATGACCCAACAAGCTGCACTGGCTGCAGGTCGTACCATGCCAGGAAGGTTGTTAGGATAGCGACTAGACTAAAAGCAGTTGTCGGCATTGTGTAAGAATCTTTCTTACACTACGCTGGGGGTCTGAAGGGCGAAGTCGTACTGCTGGGGAACAGGGGTGTAGCAGCAGTGCGGTGTTTCCCTCAGATGACCAGCATACCAGCTATGCTGTCTCTCCACTCCGGAGACAGGGGGTCAGAAAAGGTCGACCCAAAAAATTGTACATCCCGACTTATCCTACGGTGGTCAGTAACCGGCAGTAAGCTTACTAATACGGAACCAATCCCAGAAACCAGTTCATACAGGCCGAATGTGACCGGCCTCAAGCAGTTGTCCCCTGGGCTCTGCGGTCACGCAACACTAACCCTCTCTCTGTTTCAGGCACCCGAAGAACCAATCAACATCCACGGTGTGGGCAGCCGGGAAGTAACAACCGCCCACACACACTTCCAAGAGCACACGAAGCTTTTCTGAGTATCATTCTCCTTTATTTTCTTTTTGACTACAGCTTGATGCCACACCGTATTTTTAGGTACAGGTATGGAATTTTCAGCATGGATATCGGTAGCCCAAATTTTGTAGGCCGACCATAGATATCGGGTGTGCGCCGGCAGGGGGTCGAACCCCGGACAATGTGCATGGTCGGGGAGAGTCCTAACCACTGTGCCACCGACGCACATCACCTTCCTCACCTTGCTTCTCAACTACAGTTAGTACTATTCTGCAGGCTAGTGAGTCATCTTCACTTCGCTCTGTGACCACAAACAATGGTGAGAGCCATAGATAGCCTTTTAAAGCCACATCGCCAACTTCATATAGGAGCATTTAACGTCAGAACTCTCTGCCAAATCGGACAGACGGGTGCCATCGTGCAGCAGGTCACCTCTTCTATGGAATCCGAATAGCAAACGACGAGTTGAGCGTTGATCCGAAGGTAACATGGAGACAATCATACGACGAGGAGGTGAGCGCCTATTTGGTAACCGTGGGGATTGCTAAAACGAACTGCAGTGAACAGGACAAACAAAGTGATGACGTGTTGTCGATGCCCTATGCTTCACTCAGAATGCAAAAGAACAATTATAATAAGAATTCACAAACTAACCACATGCTCACAACTACCTTCCATTTCCAAAGACCGCAAACCAGTGAAGCAGAGTATGTAAGTCCATAGTATGACATGTTTAAAACAGTCAAGCAGATGTCCCAGACTAACTTCATTCATGGAAAACAATCTTCAAGATTGTATCAACAAACATTGGAGGATCTCAGAATTACTTAAACATAGACAGTGTTGACACTAAATGTCACATGAGGTATGGCGGTCCTACATATACAAACGCTGTCGATAGCTAGTAGCAATGTGATGAATTTGTAAGGGTGGCAAAGGAAGAACACCAGGTAGGGAAGTATAATGGCACAGTGGTTAGGACTCTCGCCGACCATGCACATGGTCCGGGGTTCGATCCCCTGCCGGCGTACACCCGATATCTATGGTTGGCCTGCGAAATTTGGGCTACCGATATCCATGCTGAAAATTCCATACTTGTACTGAAAATACGGTGTGGAATCAAGCTGTAAATCAAAATAAAAAAATAAAAAAAATAGTGTCAACAGTTTCTGCTCGTCACAACGAGACTATTATGTGAGTACAGTTGCAAAAGACTGTCCCATTTGTCTGGAGTGTGACCATCTGATTTCTATGGGGGACCGTCAACATTACTGGCGTCAAAAGGCAGGACGTCCACATTGTAAAATTAAATTTTCAGTAAGCACCAGGATATTTATCGAGTGAAACACAGACGCTTGGCGGTTAATTTCGCGAAGATACAGTACACATAAGGTGGATGGGGTTGTAACCTGCACACCAAAACTAAGGCGTCAAACAGAATTCGAACTCCACACTACGTGAATGGTTGGTTGGCCAGCATTCTACCACATAAAACCATCGTTTCACAACCGAATCATAACCCACATGAAATCACTTAATATGAAGTTAGATGTGATTAAATACCATCACATTTCATGTTGGCTAATTCTTACATGAATATAAAACATCTCGCCTTTTAACGCATACACGACTATTGATGAAAGGCACAGTAGAATCATAAATCTCCAAAACTTCACATCGCTTAGTGCAACCTCAACACCAGGTAAACTAGATGCTGACGTCTAACGATCTGCGACTAATGGGGCATGGAGTGATCAAGGATTGTATAGTAACAGTGAATCAATACAATTTGATACACTTCCGAGAAGCACATATCACAGTCGGGAGAAAGAAATATGGTGAGATTGCAGCGAGGGAAAATCCATACGAAAGAGAGAAAGAGAGAAACAAAATAACTACATGAAGGATAATCACAATTTGGAGTGTGTGTGTGTGTGTTTGGTCATGTATTCACCCGAGTGGAAACGATTTTTCAACAATTTTACCAACATCCCTCACGCATTTATCAATTTCTAGCTTTACGACAACTCTAGTCAAACAGTCTACATCTCACTCCACATGGATAGTGTCTAGCAGTGGGAGTCAAGATACGTATTTCGCTCACTCTATGAGTCGTCTTCTGGACGCACCTAAAATCCCCAGTAATTGATCTTTCTTCTCAAAGTGATTTTTCATCTACATGTATCAGACTGATCAGCCAATCAGTTATTCAATCAGGAAATCTATTTTACACCATAAAATGACCGACTGACTGACTGGTTTCAACATAGAACTTTGCACCGATGTGCAGCAGTCCCAGTCGCCACACTTCACTTAGCATACAAAGCAAGAGAAGGAAGTAAAAAGGAATGCAAAATAGAGAAAGTAGACAGAGATATGAGTCAGAAGGAATCGTAATATCGAAGAACGACATAGTTTTACTGGATATTATAAGTCACAAGAAGTGGATGCATCTGCGCTAGCCATTGAGAACGAGTTTGAGCCATATCATCAATTGTCTCCAGCCATTGGTGTTTACCGTCACGAGGACTCCAACTAGTCAGGAAGTCTACACCTTCCTACGTGTCTGACTTAAACTAACTGTTGTGGATTTCACTGGCTGATCAAGCCATGTTTTGGTTTGACCACCACTGGCTCTTTTCCAACCTGATTCAAACTTTGTCAGCTAAAATTGACCGTTGTCGAGGAATGCGATGACTAGGCAGGCATATGCAACACATGTCCTAACCATTTCGACAGATGTAACTTTACAATCTTGCCGATTGATTACCCCTCTTTACCTAATACTTAGCCGATGCCCATCCTCAATATTGGTCACCTTATTATACCACCTAAGACACACGGGAGATAGAACGCAGGCAACTATGATCAAAGACAGCTAGCAACTTTCAATGACCATGTCTCACTCACAGACATAAATGAGAACGGAGCGGAGCAGTACACGCGCCCTTTGGTCGATAGCCAGCCGGATATCACGTCTATGTATGTATATGAATCCAGCAAGAAAGAAACAATCTACTCACTTTTTCTTATAATCACCAAGTTCAGATAATTTTAAAAGTGGAGGAACACGAACATTTGATGAATCCATATCAGGAAAATTAATTATACTTGTCATTTGTTCAGCCAACTTCATTCTAAAAAAGGGCGCGTAAAAATAATCAAGAACAAAAAAACAGAGAAATAAAATATAAACATGACAGATTAGACTGACTAACTGACTGAGTTTCTAAGCAAAATTCTGCACAGCAGTTCACATTGCCACACTCACCCCATAGTGTACATGTGTAACGACAGAAGGCAAGAGTCAGGCAACAGATCATTTATTAAGGAAATCAACGCATTTTATATATGTTTTCATGTACATTACTATGGATATGTAAACAAACAAACACAGTCTTCCGATTGGTTGTTTCTCACGACTTCATGTACATTACTATGGATATGTAAACAAACAAACACAGTCTTCCGATTGGTTGTTTCTCACAACAAATCTTGGGAACGTAAATATTGACGTAAATTACTGTCTACCAATTTGGCTAGTAGACAGCTCTCACCACACATGAAGCTAGTGAAGAAAAACAGATACTGACTAGGACTGTACTGTGTGGAAATGGACGAGAGAAAGAGAAGGACGATGGAATAACATTAGGGTTTCATAGATTTGAAAGACAACAAGCAGTGGATGCATCCGCTCTACTGATGACGATTTTCAGCCATATTGTGGTGAGTGCTACTTATAATCCGATATAAGTAGTATATCAGGAACGAAGTAACAACATGTTTGGCACACCGAAAAGAGCAATCAAAGAAGAGAACCATGAGAAGAATGTTGCCATATGATGCAGAATCCAAGAAGCTATCGAATGAGACGATATTCGACCAATTCGTCAAGGATGTGGTAAAGATGTGCAAATAGCCGGTTTAGAATATGGTATTCCAAATTTAGCTATGTACCATACGTTTCACCAATTAAACATTCCTTTCAGTTTCCTCAGTCTTGTCTTCTTTACAATATGACCCAACAGCCTCAAGCAGTCAATTCTAAGCACTTCAAGGTGCCCAACAAGGAAGGCTACATCTCCCTACATGGCAATCTCCAACCGTCAGTCAAAGACTTCATGGACTGACCCAACCCTTCAATGATCTCTTCCAACGTAACTCTCTATCAGCTAACATTGTTCGACAAGGAAGGAAGTTGCTCTGTAAGCGAAACGCCTCACCTATGCATTTCAACCTATGTAGCTTCACAACCTTACTGACTAACTTCTCTTGTATACCCAGCCACCCTACACCTTCCTAACCTCAATATTCCTCACCATATTATACCATGTAACACAGGAGATAGTATGCAATGCATCTGTGGTCGAAAACAGCTAACCTTTCCAAATCTTCCACTTTCAATGTTCATGGATCACAGACTTAAAGAGGAACAGACTGATTTGGTGTGTAATACACACGTCATCTGATGGATAGCTGGATATCACTTCAACGCATGCAACGGATTGTTGTTCAACTACAACTTACGCATAACAAACTTGTCATGTATACTCCTCTACGACAGCCATACTTATTATTGTCTAACAGAGCTGGTCAAACTATGCACTGACTAAATGTTGAGTCAGTGTGTATGTGTGTGTAGGAGATTTGGGGAAATCAACCACATTTTCACACCATGAAAGTGACAAATTCTACTGAAAAAAAAAGAACTTGGAGTCGATTGGAAGAAGAAGGAATTGTTTATTAAACCAGTAACAGGAGTAAAAAAGTGCAGGGGTACTTACCTCGTTTTGTAAGGTAAATTACGACAATCTCTCCCATATATGCACACAACATCATAAATGAACAGTGCAGGTTTGCGTAATCCACTCTGAAACACCAAAAAACAACAATAAACGAAAATAATGAAGAATAGTGAGAGAGAGAGAGAATGCAAGCGGTCATGTGAAGAGTTGAAAGCGTGTGGGCAGACTTGGAGCCAGGTGAAAACTCTAGCAGAGAACCGAACGCGAAGGAGACGCATGGCTGAAGCCCTATGTTCCTCTAGGAACTAAAGGAAATAATAATAATAATAACAATAATAATGAAGGATAGTGAGAGAGAGAGAGAATGCAAGAGGATAAATCTACAAAGAACATGCATATATTCATTTGGCATAACACTGTTACGACTGAAGACAAGTGCCAGGCAACGGATTGTCTACTGAAAAAAAATCAGGAGATGTTCATAGATTTTTATGTACATTATTGTCGGCGGAGAAGCAACGTCTTCTGATTGGTTGTTTTCTTGCTGAAGTTTATTCTGTACTGTTTGTGACCGTTTCTCAGAAAGTTAAGCCATATATCTGCGAATCGTATTTGCACACGTTAAGTCTTCTGTGATTGGTTGTTGAGTTCCTCAAGGTTTTTCTCATGACCCCGATTCGGGACGTGAACATTGACGTAAATTGCTGTCTATAATTTTGTCTTGTTCGCAGTCAGCTCTCACCACAACACGACTAGTTAAATGAACACTAATCAGATGTTAGCCGAGAGCAGTGTCTTCCGAGACCTGTATCTCATGCATAGGTCATACTGGAGCTATTATACAATACAATGGGAAATTCAATATTTACTTCAACGGGAAAGATATTAATGAAGCCACTTGTCACATTTACTCAGACAGTGTCGTTTCAACTACAAGCAGTACACATGAGGAAGTCAAAGCAAATCAAAACCGAGGAAGACATTCATCACTTTGAAAGCAGTGTGGAAATCTACTCTACTCAGTCTAAGGAACAAGATCTCAATCTTCAACAGTTATGTCAAACTACTGCTTCTCTATATGGTTGAGAGAATTGATGTTCGCCTCAGCAGATGCATTCCAAACAGGCTACTGCAGATTAATATATGTGTAAAACTTGGGCACTATGGTAGTAAGTAATTCCATATTAGTTTGTTTATTAGGTATATCACACAGTGAAACAGTATTATTTACTGGATGACGTTTCGAACAAAATTTATTGTTCATAATCATATCAATTGTGATCACACGACTTTGACACTTTTATAGTTTTCTTTGTTCTCTTCTATTTGTCGTAGGGGTAGCAGAATTTTCCAGATATCGGGGACAGGTGATGAATCATTCCTATTACATGTATTTGCAGTCGATTCGATAAACAAAGCTTCTGTTATCAATCTCTCCCTCCACCCTGTGACATTAGATTTTAAAACTGTCATCCTATCCCATCCTATTGTATGGTTGTGTGTGACTGCATGTAGTGCTGTAGCTGAACTACTGTCTAGATTTCTTATCTGATTCGGGTCAACCAATCTAGATTTTGCTAAGTTTTTATGTTCAGCTAGTCTGACTGCCCCTGTTCTACTAGTTTGACCTATTTATTTGACCTGACAATCATTGCAGGCAGGGTATTAGATAAACTAAATTGTTTTGTTTAATTGGCTCCACAGGATTGATCCTTTAACCGACAAAGCTTGTTTATAATTGAGTTTGAGGGTTTGAATGCCACTTTTATTCCTGCCTTGTTAAGAATTCTGCGTAAGGCTTCCGAGGTTCTTTCCTTGTATGGAAGTACTACTGATGATTTAGATTCCTTATTGTTGGTGTCGTCATTAATATTATTATTATTATTATCATTATTATTGTTATTATCACTATCGCTACTATCATTATGTATTTTATTTTTACATTTCCTTACATATTTCCTGACTAATTTATCCGGGTAATTATTAAGTTTCAAGGCATTTTTTATGTGTGTCAGTTCCTGTTTTAGATTTTCTTTGGTACTACTTAATTTTTGTGCTCTGTCATTTAAACATTTCACCAATCCTATTTTTACAGATATAGGATGGGACGATCGGATGTCTAAATATCTGTTTGAGTGTGTGGGTTTCTTGTAAATACTAGTGTGTTAAACTCCCCATCTTCTTTCCTCTTCACGTTACAATCTAACATTGGGAGCTCCCCTTCCCGATTTTCCAACTCATAAATGAATTGAATTGCTTCAACCTTCGAGTTTATGTGTTCGAAAACCTATCTATATCTTGTGTTCTAAGTACAGTATAGGCTACTGCAGACTTTTATCAACAGCTGTTACCACTGTCACGCTGAGATTCAGACGATTGACCAGATAAGGTAACCAAGCAACAAAAGACTGCGAAGACGAACCAACCAGCCAGTGAGGTGTTGCCAAACATGCAGAAGGAAATGCAGATGGACTCAACCGAGTCTGGAAACACCTTTAGGGGATATAAAGACAGTTATATAAGAACAAACTGCCCCATTTTGCCTCTTCCATTTGTATCTACCAGTTAAACTGCTGGTAGCTGAGGAGCTAGTCACATTGGATGAGAAATCACGCAAGCGCATCCTTTAGTTTCTAAACACTCCTCATCTTGGCCAGTTGAAAGCCCGAATAAAGCTACATACACAATTCAGTCCTGTCTGATCTCGCCAATACTGGACACCATATTGACGCTAAAAAAAGCTTCAGTATAGACAACAAGGCTGCATAATTAGCTACCACACAACAAGTGTGCTTACAGCCCATGCACTGGGTAGTTGAGATCTTACTAACTCTAACTAAGGATTATGTGGTGCAATGTAATAGACGTACAAAAACACGCACTGTACACACTAATCAGTTATTGAAAGTAAGTTACCTACCTTTACAGCGTATTCATTAACTGGTTGTCCCCAAACCAAAGTACCAGGCGGTAGACGAGGTTTCAATCTAGGCAGTACTTGATCCAGTCTCTCCCATTGATCGCCGTCTGTTGTACAAAATATATCCTGGAATGATGATAAAAAAGAGAAAAGTGGAAGACAAAGTACACAAATTAGAGAAATGTGTTCAAAGGAACTATACTGTACTGGAGGAAAATGTGAGGCAACTATACAGACAGAGGAAGCGAATTTAATTAAAGTATGATAAATGAAAATGTAAAGCGGGTGGGGAACGAATAATTAGAAAGAACAATGTTGAAGATTTGATGAATGTGAATCCATCTGCCCTAATGACAAGAATTTTAAGCTATGTCACCGACAGTCTGCAGTCATTCGTTTCTAATGTCTCAAGGAACCAACCAGGTAATGGATAAGATTTTATTTTGGTAAATCACACAGTGTAGTACAGTTATATTAACTGATGACGTTTCGAGCACAAACTATTGCTCATAATCATATCAAGTTACTCACACAACTTCTTTCCTTCATTTATATACATGTGTGGAATCGACTAGATATTGGAATAAAATTCAATATGAGATAATGTACATTCAGAAATATTAGTACGAGTGTTATTAATCCATTGCAATTAGATGGGAAATACAACGAGTGTTTTTACAGTCATAATAAGTTGATTGTTAGGATGTGTTGATGTGTTAGAATGGAAATAGAATTTTAAGGTTATTTATTATCCTCTTCTGATTTGACCGGCGGTAATAATATCTTCCATATTTCTGGTATTTGCATTGAGTCACTTCTGTTGCATGTGTTGGGTGTAGACTCGATGAATAAGGATTCCGTAATCAACCTCTACTTCCACCTACCTATATTACTTTTTAGAATTTCAACCCTATCCCACCCTATTGTGTGGTTGTTTGTTAATGCGTGAAGTGCAATAGCTGAGCTTTTTTCTAAATTACTTATCTTTTCAGGGTCAATCAGTTTTCCCTTAGCTAAGTTCTTATGTTCTGATACTCTAACTATCCATGATCTACTAGTTTGACCTATGTAGTTGACTTCACAGTCATTGCAGGGTATTTTGTAGATTATATTGTTTTGTTTAATTGAGTCCAACGGGTCCTTCAACCTACAAAGTTTGTCTCTGAGTGAGTTTGTGGGTTTGAATGCCACCCTAATTCCTGCTTTATTGAGAATCCTACGTAGGGTCTCAGATGTCCCCTCCTTATATTGTATAACAGTAGAAGATTTATATTCTCTCTTATTTATGTTATTACTACTAGTTACACAATTATTTTTATTTTGTTTTTGGCCTTCACTGATCTTCTTAATGAATTTTATAGGATAGTTATTCAACACCAACGCTTCTTCTATCTGTTTTATTTCGTCATTTAGGTCCTTTTTTGTGCTACTTAGTGCTATGGCTCGGTTTGTCAGACACTTAATCAAGCCTGCCTTAACAGTTAACGGATGAGACGAATTAAAATCTAAATATCTATTAGAATGCGTTGGTTTTCTATAAACACTAGTGTGTAGTTTGCCTTCTTCTATTCGTTTTATCTTACAGTCTAACATGGTTAATTCTCCTTGTTCATTTTCTGATTCAAATGTGAATTTTATTCCTTCTACTTGTGAGTTTATATGTGTTAAGAAGCTAGAGATATGTTCTGTTTTTAACACTGTGAATGTGTCATCTACATATCTCCACCATATTTTTGGCGTAGGATTAAATGTATTGAGAGCACTATTTTCCAAAATAAAATCTTATCCATTATGGAATTATACTCTACCACAGTGCCCAAGTTTTATACTTATATCAACCAACCAGGTAGTCTGCCTACACGGTTGGCTTAAGCACTTCATAAATTTATGTGAGGTTTAGATTCGACAACCCTTAACTCATTTCCAACCTAATTCCTATGTCAGTTAGCATTGCTCGACGGTGAAGTTGATGACACACTCAGTGTGTGTAACAGTTGATATGATACCACTCAGTTGTTCGGACTGAATTAAACAGGGCAGAATTCGAACAATGGACCCACAGTCTGAAAATCGAGTAATTGAGGCAATGTCTTCAACGACCCAGGGATTGACATGTCACCAGGGGATAAAATTGTTGATGTAAGATCAATTCAATTCCCATCCTTGAATCAAGTCAACCTGTCCCTGATCAGCCTAGCATTGTTGCAATCCAATTATCCATGCCTAACGTGTCTATCCCACCTTGTTTAATGAACTGTGTATGTGTGTTTTTACTTCGATCCGTTTAGTCAGACTGTTGAACTCATGACCCAATCAGAGTATTTTTGTGAACTGTTATTTTTGCTGACCCATGTCTTACTTTGTACTATTCTGTCGAGTTTGTCTTATTTATTTATTGGTTAAGTAGCCAATTAAATTCTATCTTTGTGCCTATGCTCTGTCTATCTCTTACTTGGGTTCAGTCTTCTACTGACTGCTTACCTGATTCCGGCTAGTTCGCAATTTTGGCTTTAACGTTATTCCGCTCTGATAGCGGTACCTTGCTTTCTGTTAAGCGTTGTGCTTTGTACTCTTGAAACAGTTAAGGTTTGTTGTCAGTATAATTATTGATTTGTTTATTAATAGTACCTTAGAAACAGTGACCGGCTTCTTGTTTGTTATGGACCGGGATAGACTTTATCTACGCGTGACTTAATTTCAAGTGATAGTGCGCTTACACCCCCTATTACTCAATAATAGACTACTGTACATTTTTGGCTAATACAAATACGACTGTACAGCCTGTGAAGATAATTTCATTGATAAAGAAGATTTTCTTCGCTGAATTTTTTTTTAATTTTCTTCATGACTCAATGGGCATTTTCGGTGATTCTTGAAATACCTCAAAAAGAGAGGGAGCACTAGTGTTGTATTTACCACATAGTCCAAGGGACATCTGGTAAAGGCCGACCATGCACGACCTGTAAGACGTATCCAAACAATTGCCCATATGCTTTCACCTCCTCCTCTTCACACGATTCTCTCTATGTCACTCTCCGACCCACATTTAAATCGTCGTTTCCCATTTTGTTCCCACTCCAACGATGTCGTTCGACAGTCTCTTCACCGTGTGCCCTATCCATAACCATTTTACTTTCTGTGTTTTATAGAGCTAAATGTTCTTGATTGATTCGACCCCAGAGTTTCTTCACACTAATTCTCTCTGTCCGGGAATCTAATCTTCAATATGGAGCCAGAGAAGGCAGCTGTTGGGGAAAGTCTACCATAGGCTGTTTAAAATGCTTCTGTGACACGGGTGCCAATCTTCCGACGCAGATAGAATTGATGACTCAACATCATAATTAATGAAAACACGAATTTTGTATCTTAATGTGATTGGAGAAGATTTTCAAACTAATTTACGATTAATGGAGTCCTGTTCCGCTTCTCCGATACTAGTTTTGACATCTTCATCAGCGCAGCATGCCTTACGTAGAAATTATGCTTCCGAAATAAATGAAAGAAGCAACCTCTTTTAAATTTGTTTTGTCAATAAATACAGATTCACGTCTCACATAAGGTAAAGAAAGATAATGGAGACTGCTGCACACTGCACACATCCTTTCATGGATAGCTGGATATCACGTCTATGCCAGAGATGGCGTCAGTTGGCAAATACTACACCAACCTTGTGTAACCATCTTGATATTACATCAGCAATCACTCTATTGGGGCTAACTCAACTTCCGAAGTGAGTCAATTGAATCTAACCATTACGAGGGGTGGTCAACCATGGACTCACCTAAATAACACGCCTATTGTGTTATAGATTATTACAGAATCGTTCATGTGGAACTAGTTGGGTAGGAATAATTATAAATGATTTTAACGTGTTTTTTGAGTGAATATCTAATCGGTGACTACCTAAACGATAGAAAGTGTTGTATGTATACTCAATGAGATTTCTATTGAACTTAGCACTGACAATGTTGTCCAGACAGACAATGAAACTTCTACAATTAAATTATCCAATTCGGTGAGAACTAGAATGAACCATGTGAATTAGAAATCTCTATCGATCAGGGATGATAGCCATAGAAGGTATGATCAACATTCATATAATAAACATGACCAAGATTTCAGGTCATGTGAAAAAGACAGGTGTCAGGTAATCTACAACGGAAAGCTCAGTGAAGCCTTTGAATTGAAAACAGGAGTAGGAGAAGGTTGTCTGCCTACTACCACTGATGATATTCCCAACTGCGATGGACAGAATCACGTGACAGACTGTGGGTGGAGAGCGATAATACGGGAATACGCTAGGCCAATAAGAAGACTCCATCTAGAAGATCTGGATTCCGTGGATGATATATGTTTAATGTCACCCAAACTCGAAAACTTACAGACGAAAACCTACAAACTGGTTGAAGAAGCAGAGAAGACGGGTGTAATGAAGATAACCAGTGATCAACAACAACAACAACAGCGACAATGACAAGCCCTTATCACTACCAACGGGAGGGATTTGAAAGAGATCACTCCATCACTTATCTAGGCAACGTCGTTCCGATTACAGGCACACCACACAGTTGGGGTTGTCAAAGCCGGCTAGAATCAGAGAGGAAACGTACGCCTTCTCCTCTCGGAAATCAGCTTGAAATTCTTCGGAACTTCGTAGCATAAAGAACTAGATTCAGATTTATAACACGAATGTTAATCCAGTCAGTTCTTCTTTATGTGTTAGACACTTGGAGACGTGTCACAAATAGCATTTCGAACAGGATACCGCAGACTTTTGTCAACAGCTGCCTTCACTGGCCTAATACTGAAGATCAGATGGTCGACCAGAGAGAATTCGCAAGAAGAAACTCTGGAGACAAAACCCCATTAGGAACCTATGCTCAACAAATAAACAAGTGGATATGGGTTGGACACACGTTGATAAAACCGTCGGGTGACATCGCGCGCCAGACCATCGTCCAAGTGGAACCCGAAATGACGATTTATCCACGTGTACGACGTTGACATGGATAAGATCATGTGAGGAGGAGGTGAAAGCTTACAGGCAACTGCGGAACCAGCTGGAAATGTCTGGTTGAAGGACTATGTTCTCCCCTGAACTCAAAGAAACCTGATAACAATAGAAAGATTTCAGGTGTTTTGTAAAGATTTCTCTTGATTTCAGTATACATACATTTTGTCACACGTCAACATTATTCAGAGAATCACAACTGTCCCATATCAATGACAGATTAACAATTAAGTAAGTTATGACTCCTAACTATAATACAATATTTTTAAATAAAATAATTAAACATTAATAACGGAAAGTATTATTCACACATAATAAACACTAACCATAGCTCCACTTCCACGTGAATAAATAAACATTGATTTAGCCGGTTCAGAGGTTGACATCAATGATGGATTACCACAGATTAGAGCAATTCGACTACCATTTAAACTATCCAAATTATTTAAATGTGCTTTAGTAAACGGCGTTAAACGAATATTTGGACGATAATCAGATGGTAGCATATTCAGCGGTGTAAACTTCTCTTTATCCTAGATTATTGAAATAAACAAAACATGAGCACAAAAATAAACAATCATACATAATATCCATTATAAATACATCTATAGAAAAAACTATGTCTAATCACGAATGACTGACTTCAGTAGTTATAGAACACCGTTGAAAACAAACTCTTATAATAGCTGGCTGGCTGGGTTCAACATAGAACTTGGCGCCGAAGTGCAGCAGTTCGAGTTGCCACGTTCCAAATAGCACACAAAGGTAGACAAGAAAATGAGTGAAGAGTTTTGACAGGTATAAGAGTGAAACAGAATGAGTAATGGTAGAAAGGAATATGAAGGTTAAAGAGACTGAATACATCTGCGTAAGCCATTGACAACGATTTTGAGCCATGTCACCTATTGTCTGTCTCCAGCCATTGATTCTTAGAGTCCCGAGGGCCCCAACCCGGAAGTCTGCATCTCCCTACCTGACTCAGTTTAACTGTCAAGGATTTCATGGATTGATTGATGCCATGTTTTTGTTTGGCCACCACTTACTCTTTTCCAACCTGCACCCATATCAGCTAGTAATGTCCGTCGGGGGAGACGATGGCTAGGCATGCGCAGCACGTGACCTAGCCATCTCAATCTATGTAACTTTATAGCCTCTTCGATTGATTTTCCCTCTTTGCCCAACACTCTATGCCTAACGTCAACATTACTTACCTTTTTATACCACCTAACGCGACCGAAAGCTGCTACCTTGATGCGGTGGTCGGGCTTGCATATCGCAATGACCCAACGAGCTATACTGGCTGGAACTTATGTTCCTGTAGGTCCTACCATGCCAGAAAGGTTGTTTGGACAGCGGTTAGACTAAAAGCAGTTACCCAATCCAATCCTATGACTCCAAATAAATCACAAAATATCATGCCGGATCGGTCGGGGCCCGGATTAACAACGACCGCGCTTTCTGCTGCCGTGTCACAGGGCAGAAGTGATAAATACGCTACTGAGACACACCAAATAAAAAAGAACAAACAAAAACAGGCCGTGTGTGACCGGCCTCAAGCAGTTGTCCCCTGGGCTCTGCGGTCACGCAACCAACTTCCACGGTGTGGGCAGGCGGGAAGTAACAATCGCCCTCACAATCCGAAGTGCACGCGAAACCTCTCTAATCCTCGTATAATAGCGCTATTACCAGACATCTCCTCAATACGGATCATGAGGTGGAAATCGCGAAATCCTTTAAAATTATCAATAGACAAAGGAGCTCGATTCTCCTGAAGTTTGCCAAAGCAATTTCTATCAAACGCTTGAAACCTGATTTATGTGTTCAGAAAGAAGCAGTTATCAATCAGTCTTTCCTTGCCTAGCCTGATAACTGGATGTCCTTATTCCGTCTTTCATTTCATTACATAACCTTTGGCCTTAGCCTCCCCCTCCCCCTTTGATATGGCATTATTTCCCTTGTCTCTTGTTTCTATAATTTGAGTTGAACTCAGTACATTGCTACCTAATTTATTAGTCACTTAGCTTTTTACGTAGCTCTCACCTTTATTACGTAACTCCCTTACCATTGTATGCAAACATTTATTTTTGTTTAAAGTTGAACTGCCTGTATGAAAACTATACAGGCGTAATTTTCTGAGCACTGTTCACTAATGCCGTAACCTCCTGTCAACTGACATTATGAAAAATCTACAAGTATGCTAAAGGCTTTGTGTACATAAACCTCATAATTTATTGAGGCTGTAAGCAGCCGATGAGAAGCTAACAAAATAAATAATGGTACTGTCAACTTATTCAGCACAAACCACACTGCTGTTCTTGCTTTATTCAAACTAATGTATACTGACTAGCTGTTTCACCATAGTTTCGAGCTCATCAACAGTATGCAAATGTGACATCATAATCGACATAAACACAAAACCTCCAGGCTAAAATAGATGAGTTCGTTGAACACTCCAGATATTGCTGATGTTGTGAAATTCAACAGCCCATGAATTCTAGCCTCTGTCAATTGGTGATTCCAGATTTCTAATAGCTCTCCCCCTCTGAGGACAGTTAGTGATCAGGTTTAAAATCAATTAGATAACCAAGCAAACCAATCCATGTGGACAATATGGCTCATTGCCTGACTGGCTGACTGATTGGTTGGTTTCATCATAGGACTTTCCACAGACGTGCAGCGATCCCAGTTGCCACACTCCTTTAGAAGGAAATGAAGAAGAATCTTACAGAATTGATTCTTTCTTCGCATGCAGCAACACTCCGTCATATGATATTATTATTATTATTGTTTCCTTTAGTTCCTAGAGAAACATAAGGCTTCAGCCACACGTCTACACTGCTTTCGATTCTTTGCCAACGTTTTCACCTGGCTCCACGTCTGCCCACATGCTTTCATCTCCTCTTCGCATCACCTACTCCATGACACACCAGCCTCGCACTGACGACCATCTCATCGCTTCCCATTCGACTTCCACTGTGTGTGTGACGTCACTCACTTGATGGTTTGTTTTCTCAGAGTATGGCCAATCCACTCCACCTCAATTTCTTCCTGCATATTTGTTTCACAATCAGTTCCTACTATGTTGTTTCGCTCCCAGAGATCTCTTCCCTGGCAGAAGAAGCTTGCATCAAAGACAGCATTTCGAATGGACATAAGGAAGACAGAGGTGATGCAGATAGCCAACGAACGACAATAGCCAGCACCAATCAGTATCAATGGGAAAAATTTGAAAGAGGTCAACACCCTCCACTTATCTACGAAGCATCGTTTCAAATACACACGGAACGCATGATCAGGTTGGAAAGCTTCTTCACTAAGCATAAAGAACGAAATTCAGGTTTACAACACTAATATCAAGCCAGTCAGTTCTACTTTATGAGTCAAAAGCATAGCGCCGAAATCACACAAAAAGCATTTCCAGCAGGCTACGATAGGACTTTCACTAACACCTATCATCGCTGGATCGATACTAAAGATGAGATTGCCAATCAGAAAGAATTAGCAGGAAGAAACTCTGGAAACGAACCAATAATCAAAAACCTATTGGTCAACAAAGAAACAAAAGCAAATGGGTCGAACATACATTAAGGAGACACTGTTGAGTTACACCGTGCGCCAGGCCACCGCTCAAGTGGAACAAGGATGGGAAATGATATGTAGGGCATAGGATCAAGGAGATGAGAGACTACGGGCAATCAGGAGACCTGCCAAGACAATAGAAAACAGGAGATGTGGTACTGGGGCCCTACGTTCCCCTCGAAACCCTCTGAGGACAGTAATAATTATAATGGGTCGTAAATAACACACACACACACATCCACACACAGTTGTCATTTATGCGAAAGTCGACAACAATAACATCAACAATGACTTACGCCTAATAAACCATGAATAACATCTGATCGATTTTTGGACAGCAGAGGCCAAGGGATTTGTCGACGTTCTGTAACTGGGACCTTGAGAACAAGAAGAAAAATACACATCGAGCAATATATGATAATTGATTAAGAGATAGAAATAGATCGGTGGAAATGCAAGTCATGAGTTTAAGCACTCCACACTCAACCAATGACTACCAGGCTCACAACGCACTCCACCAACTTCAGCGGCTATTCTCATTAGCGTAATAAATACCATCAGCCGACGTAAAATAATTGTGCAACTCACAACCTGATACTTGGAAAAAGGTTTCCATGTAACTCAGTCCAAACGAAACAGCTGACTGAATATAAATTGAATTCATTAAGAGGTGATTTGTTAACAAAAAAAATCTAAATTTTCCAATTTTACCTACACCGAATCGTAGTGTGTGTGTGTGTGTGCGTATGTAAGGGTGTCACTGTTCGTGAGGATAAAACGCCAACAAGAACTCGGTTACTCCGATAAGATTTGGAGCATATCATGTTAGAAGTCAGACTTGTTGAGTGGCATCAGATGATACTACTATAACGACAGACGACAAGGGCCAGGCAACAGATAGTTTATTGAGGATATCAAAAGATATTTATACATTTTTATGTACATTATTATTCGTTATTGTTATCAGAGAAACAGCGTCTTCTGATTGGTTATTTTCTCGCTGAAAGTTATTCTGTCATCTCTTTGTGGCCATTTCTTTGAAGGTCAGACCATATATCTGCGAATCGTATTTGCACACGCTAAGTCTGCTGTGATTGCTTGTTGAGTTAGTTTTTGTTCTTGTTTTTTTTCTCATGACCCCGATTCGAGACGTAAACATTGACGTAAATTGGTGTCGACCAATTTTGGCTAGCAACCAGCTCTCACCACACTTACACAACAGTATTGTCTCATCATTAGATAAAGGTGCCAAATACGTCCGCTGCACGTTTCTCGACTTCACTTCTGCTTTTGACTCTGTACCTAGATGTCTCTTGCTAAATAAGCTCCCGATGACACAAACTGACTCCTAGGTCACAAACTGGTTGCATTCCTATTTCTCAAACAGAATGCAGTACACTGTATAAAAAAGTAAAAATCCTCCTCTGCTGTGCTCACTGAAGCTGGTGTCCCCAAAGTACTGTACTCTCCCCACTTCTCTTTTCTTTCTTTCTACATGACTTACCATCTTCGAATGACATTAATTTTGTCAAATATGCTGACGACCTGACAGTATCTTTGCCTGTCAAATGTCAAAGTGATTGCTCTAAACTAAATGGCTTTCTATCAGAAATCAGCTAGTGATCCAAGGAAAACGGTCTTACCTTAAATCCCTCCAAATGCCAAACAGTCGATTTCACCTTTAGGTATAAATCCGATCTTAACAAACAGGTTAGCTCTCACGAGGTGTGCAACATAGATGGCACTGAAATAGAGACCAAGTCGGAAATTAAATATCTTGGCGTCATTCTATCTGCTGATCTTTTCTGGTCGTCTTATAACTTGACGATTTCTAAGAAAATATTCCATCTTACCATCTACATCAAGAAGTTAAGACATTCTGGTATAACCCGACCCTTACTCCTACAATTCGTTAACTCTCGAATTCTGCCTATTATTCTCTATTGCCCCCGCTTAGGTTTTCCAGGGCTATTGAAGAAGGAATATCTCTAATTACGTAGGATGTTAAAGGTTGTCAGCAGGGTAAGCAGCGTGCCACTTAACCAGCTTGTTAATATTCTGGTTGACAGGTACATGGACTCATGTGAAAAATGGGCCAAATCCATTCTATCTAACTCATACCACCCTCTTCATTCACAACTCTCCCCTTGTATCTCATCAGGCAGGACCAGAAGCCTATATAGAAAACTATATGCTTGCACTAGCAAGTACAAAAATTCAACCATACCCCACTTGGCTCGTGTTCTGTGCGATAAAGAAAGCATTAGGCGTGAAACTTATAACTTATTAAATAGTCAGTAGAACAATTGGATCTTGTCTTTCCAACTCATATCATTTATAGGTACGTTTTCTTTCCTTTCTTTCTTTCTTTTTTTGTTATGTGCTGTTTTGTTTTTCTCTTCCTTACAAACTCTACTTAAAACATTCTTCTTCCTTCTTTCACACTCTGTATATCTCGACCATTTCGCTACCGCTTACGCCGGTAAATATGCTAGTATCTACTTTTCTAACACCTTCAAACATTCTGTTCACTTTTGGCTTTGCTGCCGATATGCTAATATGTTGTTGTCAAAATTAACTGAGATTACCCTTAATCTATGTAGAATTATATTTATTGTTAATGTAACAAACTGGATGCAATACTGTAGTGAAATGCTGAGAATTCCATTCTGTATCACAAGTACTGTTTTGGAATAAAGCATATTATTATTATTATCATTACTAGTCAGTAAGTGGATTAGACTGAAACACAGATGGCTTGCAGTACTCGAACCAGGCAAGCCACTGCTTAATAGTCAATGCGGTCATCTTATAATCAAAACAGGTGAGTTAATAAAGAGTCAAGTAAAATGAAACATAATAAAAAAGGAGTACCAATACGTAGAATATCTATCTATCTATCCATACCTTCCATTTTTCTAAACACAATTTATGCAATCCAATTTGTCTTTCTTCAATTAAATTGTGGTCATGTGAAAAGGCGATCAACTTCGACAAAGCAATACACTGGTGTTCAGCAATCCTGATACCACAAGCCATGTAGAAAAGAAATAATAGAAAAAGCGAATATCATTAGTGTCATTATTATTATTACTATTATTGTTATTATTATTATTTTTAAGGCGAAGATTACTCAAAAAACACAAAAAGCAACTTAAAAAATCCCAATTATATTGAGTTATATTAAAAGAAAAGACGTTCAGCGTCGAGAGTTCGGTCGGTCGGTTTTCGACATAGAACTTTGCACATATGTGCGGCAGTTCAAGTCGCCACACTCCCTCCTTGTAGCACACAAAGCAAGAGAAGAAATTAGGAGAAATGCATAATAAAAACAGTAAACAGAGGTGTGAGACAAAGGAGTAGTAATAACGGAGAACAAAACAGTTTAATTGAAAATCAGAGTTACTCTTCTCAGCGGTGATATTATTCTCAAGCTGTACAACCACAAATGCATATCTAGTACGTTATCGGAACACAACAAAGAAATATTTCCAATAATGTGACATTAGAATTGTAAATTCTTTTAGATAACAAATTAGGTAACGTAGAAAGCGTTAATGGGGTAAAAACTGTCAATCCGTGATCAACCCGTCAAAACAGATTTAATCTTTAAAAACCAACTATCGAAAATTAAATTGATGCTCGCTAGTGTCAGTCTGTCTGTCTGTTTTCGACATAGAACTTTGCACCGATCTACAGTAGTTCAAGTCAAAACACTCCATGTAGCACACAAAACAAGAGAAGAAAGTAAAAAGAAATGCAAAATATAGACAGTGAAAAGCGATATGAGACAAAAGGTATAGTAATAACGAAGAACAATATAGTTTCAATGTAAATTATAAGTCACAAGGAATGGATGCATCTGCACTAGACACTGAGAACGATTCTGAACCATATCATCAATTGTCTCCAGCCTCCATTAGTGTTTACCGTCTCGTGGATCCCAACTAGTCAGGAAGTCTACACCTTCCTAAGTGGTTGGCTTACTCTAACTGTTGTGGATTTCATTGACTGATCAAGCCATGTTTTGGTTTGGCCACCACTGGCTCCTTCTCAACCTGATCTTATATCAGCTAACATCACCCACTGTCGAGGAAGGCGATGATTAGACAATCGCGCATAACACATGTCTTAACCATCTCAGTCGATGTAACTTCACACCCTCGTCGATTGATTTCCCCTCTTTACCTAGCACTCGACTAATACCTAACCTCAACATTGCTCACCCTATCACTTCACACGGGAGATAGAACGAAGGCACCTATGATCAAAGACACCTAGCCAGCCTTTTCATCTCTTCCACTCTCAAAGGCCAGGTCTCACAACTACACAGGAGGACAGAGCGGAAAAACATTACCAGGGCTAGGCGCATGCGTATAGCACACAGACTTTTTAAACCTTCCACACAAACATTAAGCCGCGTACTATCCCATCGCCCTTGGTGGATCTGGTTAGTGATTTGCTACAGGACGGAGTTTCCTCGAGTTCAAGTGAGGAGTTGTGACCAGTGACGTCCATTAAGTCAAGTGTGAGGATGGATGTCCCACCGATGACATTGCTTGATGGTCGCACTAAATCACGAATTGGTAGAAGTTAGAATTCATAGGCTAGCCAATGAATCTGGTCCTAGTGGCTGCCTAATGGTATACGAGCTTGTCTTGTAACCGGAAGGTTCTGGGTTCGAACTCCTTGTGGTGGGTGCATACTGCGTGTTATGCAGTAATATTCACTGATGACCACGTTTCGAGCACAATTTACTACTACTGCTCATAATCATATCAAGGTGCTCACACAACTTTCTTGCTTAATTTATATACCTCAGTAAAAATTGATTAGACATTTGAGTGTTATAATGTATGCGAATTGAATACATTTTAACATTATTTATTATCCTCTGATTTGACTGGTGGCAATAAAAACTTCCTTATCTCTCGCATTTGCGTTGAGTCATTTTTATTGCATGTGTTGTGTTGGGTGTAGACTCAATGAACCAGGATTCAGTAATCAATCTCTCTCTCCACCTACCAATATTACTTCTTAGAATTTTAACTCTATCCCACGCACACTATTGTGTGGTTGTGTGTTAATGCATGCAGTGCAATTCCTGAACTTTTTTCTAAATTACTTATCTTCGCGGGGTCAACCATTCTAACCTCAGCTAAATTCTTATGTTCCGACAATCTGACTACCCCCAACCTACTAGTTTGACCTATGTAGTTAACCTCACAGTCATTGCAAGGTATTTTGAAAACTATATTATTTAGTCTAATTGGGTCAACCGACAGGGTCCTTTAATCTACAGAGTTTGTCATACCTCAGTGAGTTCGTAGGTTTAAATGCCACTCCAATTCCTGCTTTATTAAGGGTCCTACGCAAGGTCTCATATGTCCCCTCCTTATATGGTTTAACAGTAGATGTCTTAGTTTCTCTCTTGTTTATGTTATCATTATTAGTCTCACAATTATTTTTATTTTGCTTTTGGCCTTTTCTGCACAAGTTCTATTCCTAAATCAATGATTCATAAGCATTTGAAGCCCTGACACTATAGAGGCGGAGTTAGACTCCCTGAAAAGAATCTTCCTTGAAAATGGCCACCAAGAAGGTTTCACAATAAAATCCACGAAGCGAAAACCACTGAATTCGCCCGCACTATCAGCTCCCAGAAAACTTCACCTCCTGGAATCTATAATTCAATGGAGACTCATCGGCAGAAATACTGAGAAACTGCCTGTCTCTCTCATAGCTTTATAAAGGAGAGGAAAGACCCCCTTCCCAATCAAACCCGAATTGGTTTGCAAATTGTGAATCTGATTTGTGCTATGACCACTTGGACGAAGCATCCAGCCGGAAATCGGGTGGTTTGAACTGATTCAGCACTCTGACCTGAGTCAAACCAGGTACACTGCTGATGCGTTCTGTCCCAAACAAACAAAATGGCCGTCCGGTGTTTAGACCATTGATGGATCGGTCTAGCAAACACTGTTGGTTGATATGGATGGCATGCAACTACTACTCATCTCAATCAACTGCAAGTCTTATTTTCTACAGCACCGATGGTGCTACCTCGACTGAAAGATGAAGTAGCTAGACTAGCTAGCCACTTCCAATTGTAACTATCAATTCAACTGCGCTTGTGATGTAGCGAGTTATATCGGCCGTTGCTCTAGGAACTTGATTTTGAGCACTCGCTCGGGAACATCTACCAGTGTGGCTAAGCAGAGGTATAGTAAAAACCATCAGCGGCTCGATAATTGACCACCTGGTCAAAACTGGTCACAAAGCCAGCCAGCATTGAAGAATCCTTCTCTATCATCTACCCGGGTGTCAAATAAATTGCCAAAAACATCGAAGTACCGCATGCTCCAAACAGAAGAGGCTATCGCAATTAGCATGAAACAACCAGTGGTTTGTGTGCAAAAGAAGCAAGTCCAACCAGCCACTACTACTGCCCTGACTTGCCTTTAGTGGAGACTATAAATTGATGATTTGTACTGTTATCTTTCCTAATCTTTCCGACATTCAGTTTATTGTTATATTGATGCTATTGGACTGCAATCCACTGATATTATTATTGATTTGATGTTACTTAAACTATATTAATATTGTTGATGACACTAATTCATCCACTATTATGGATGGATACATAACTGTAGAGCCTGATGATGAAGTTATCGGAAAGAGTACTCTTTCTTCAGTAACCATTCTTTTGAAACAAAAAACAACAAAAATATATATATTTTAAACGATGAAACTTACCCTTCATTCACAGTATGCATAAATTCTAAAAACTGTTCATCTGATTCAATTTTCCCACTATGGCATAGTTTTAATACATCAATTTCAGAATTTATTGAAGCGCCATTCATATTCTTATTGTTGTTGTTGTTTAATGCTTCATTGACTTGTAAAAAGTGTTCAATAACTAAACCAAGTGGACCGGACTTTTCAATATCAGTTAATACACCAAATTTTCTATTCAACTCTTGGCCATCATGATTAGAGGTATTCGTTGTCGTTGGTGTTGTTGTTGTATGTGGCACTTGCTGTTGATGACCTGGAAATCGACGCGGTTTCTGACGAAAATTTGACTTTTGATCAAAATTATCATTGTTTAAATTAGTCATTGTAGACAATTTAGCCGGTGGTGGTATACAACCAGCCATTGTAGACAGCGGTGATCGTAAACTTTTGCACACTAGATATCTAAATATATAAGAAAATATTGCAATGAGCCACAACTATTGCTTGCGAGGAATAGTGATAACTAACTGGCTGTCTAAAACCTCGACAGATGGTGAAGAGGAGGTTAAACACATAACTCAACGGTTGGAAGTTAAATGCGTAGATAAATGAGCCACAGCTGTAACAAACTAATTGAAAACAAAAGGTAGTAAATACTACTAACTAGACTTCATCAGTAGTTAAAAACGAATCACAAAACAATTATGGTGCTTACTGGATAGATCGCCTGCTCATTTGAGAATGACCACATCATCAGACGTGCATCCGCATTTATTCATCATAAACAACTTTCTGTAGATAACTATTGGTATAAGCTATCATTTCTCCCTAACATGATCTCCTGTGTGTCACCCTCCGATCCATGGCCAATTCCTTGCTTTTTTATTTAAGTTAAACTTGTGAGCCTGCCTTGTGTTCGTCTTTTTTTCTCTATTCCTTTCCGTTTCCAGTGGAACATAGGGCTTCAAAGTAGAGCTTTGACGTTTCACTAGCAACGGTATTTATTTTTACAATGTGGGTTTGCTAGTCTCATGCCCAACCTTCCCTCTTTACCGATCCTATTACCGGCTTAGCAAAGTAAAGGAGTGTGTCGGCCAGGGATCGAACGCCGGATCATCTGAGTAGCTGTCGGGAAGTCTACCGCCAAGCCACCAGACGCACTTAGGGTGCCTAATCCATCCATATTTCTTCTCCATATTTGCTGAGCGATAGATTCCTCGATCGTCCTTTGCCAGAGTTCCTTGTCCCTCATTCTTTTTAACCGGCCATCTGACCTTAAGTATCCAGAGAGCGAAAGCAGCCGTGGATAAGAATCAGCAATCTACTGCAAATGATATTCGTACCACGCCAAGTCTGTCAACTATATAGACGTACTGATTTGACATTTATAGTAAAACTTCCGGCTCTTCTTCCTTGTACTGCAGGCAGTAAATCTCCACACTGATAAAGGTCTGTCTTGCTGTTCCGAACCTGAATGCCTTTTGACATCCTTATGATTGCTGACTATAGTTGAAAAGATGCTTCCTAGATAGGTGAAAGAAGCGACCACCCCTAAATTTCTTCCGTTTATAGTGACTGGTGTCTGTTGATGTTGTTGTTATTATTGATTTACCATCTTCACCCCGCTCTCTTCACTATGTCCACTTAAAATCTGTCCTGTCTTCGCTGTCTCTCCTGAGAACTTGTTGATTTTCGCCTGCAGACCTTCAAATTTATGTGACATTGTAGATAAATCATACACAAAGTTCAGATATTCTAGAGTCCTATTATCAATTCAGGGTATTTCTGTCTTCTCCCTCAAAACGCACAGATTTCTTCATAATCCAGTCCACCACAATTAAGATTATTATCATTAATGGTAGGCAGTCTTGTCTTACACTCCTGTTTTCACTACAAAGGCTTCGTTGTGCCACTAATGACAATATCTTGACAGATCACAATACGACCTGCTTAGAGTTCAGGTGTTGTCTACTTATTCAAATCTTTAAACTCAAGTCAACCAGAGTACAACGTCGATGGACATGGTCGCATACAAGACAAATAGTCGTCTAGTGTTAAGATAACTTCAATATGCGCCTACAAGTTGGTTGACGTCAGCGGTTTTGCAACTACTTACATTATTTAGTAGTATATATCAACTCGCTAAAATAATTAGTATTTTTAGATCTTATACTCATGATATTAAGCATTTGTTTCCTGATTAATGAATCGTGAAATCGAATGTCAGTCCACTTTCCAGATTTTGAAAGCTACGCAGTAAATACGATAATTCCTTTCCAGGCGTTGTCCTTTGTTGCTCTTTCTTTTGCGTTCAATTTCATACTACTCACCACTATTAAGTAGTATGAGCTTTATATTTGTCACTTCTTACACGCGATCGTGTTTTGGATATTGTAGTTTAACTCAATGTATTAATACCCTATTTGATGAGTAGTAATTATTTTTGTTATAGTCAAACATTATCTGCCTTATATATATTATGTACCCTTTGTTGTTGAACACTGTGTGCTCACATTCCTTTATTATGTGTCTAGCATTTGCGTGCTGTTTAAATCTACACGTGGACAGTCTTTAAAACAGCGCTGCTGTTTCTACTTATTGACGCATATTGTTTGTGCTTTTGACGGCACCAAGCCACAAACACCTCATAACTGAGGATTTCATATTGTATTCCATTAATTTATGGTTGATATAGTCCTGTATTCTACACAAATTCTGTGTGTTTGGATTTTATGCGTCAATCAAAATGTCGTTTAACTAGTCGTTTGGATTATCGTCCCGGATTTCCTAGAAGAAATTCACAACAACAGTAATGTAGAATTTAATTGGTGGATGGTGACTAGCAGTGGAATCTAGGACAATGCGCATTTCGTCCTATTTGGAACTCGTGGTCAGCTGGATGTACCTGCATTCCCCAGTGAGTGATGATGTTCCCACCGAGTCTCGAAGCCAGTGCCCATAGTTTCAAACGCCAACTAAATTCTTATCACATGCTCAGACATCGTTGAAGCATCTGCACAAGAAGCCGATATGTCAACCTGAGACCGAACACTTCGGTCCAATCAATCAACGGGAAAATGTAAAATTTAATTAAACAGTAATATAGACTGTCAGATGAATACTGCTATATGGTCAAGTGTTTATCGAATCTGGTAGCTATGTCCTACTCACAGAATCCATATGCTGCAGAAGATGTTCTACTAACAATCAAAGGGACAATGTTGTAAATGTACAGCACTCATCAAAGAACTGGTGGACATGTAAAATCCACCGAGAGAAGATGACAAACTGTGAATCTAAAACAGTGACGCATAAGGGCTCCAGAATCCGCAAGAAATGAATGGTGTATAAACGTATATTGATTACTGGAAACTATGCGAGGGACAGCTCCTCATGTTATGCTCTCTGTTGCTAAGTAGATTATACTTCACTTCAAAGGATGGATACAGGACTCCGCCAGGCATCAGAACAAGCTGGATTCAGGGAAGGCAAATCATGTGCTGATCAAATTGCAACTCTACGCATCGTCACCACAGAACAAAGCATAGAATGGCGGTCAACTGTCACTCCACCTCAACTTCATCGACTTCATAAAGGCCATCGACAGACAGAGTTGACTGAGAAGTAATTTGGAAACTACTTCGATACTGTGCACTGAGCTGAGCAAATCTTTATCAACCTCATTCAACACCTAGCTATATGACAATGCCACGTGTCAGGTGATCAACAACGGGAAACTCAGCGAGGCGTTTGAAGTGAATACAGCAGTAAGACAAGCTGGCTGCCTATTATCACTGATGATATTTCTAGTTTCGGTGGACTGCATTATGCGGAAGACTATGCCTGGAGACAGAGAGAGAGAGAGAAGACAGCAACATGCTGGACAAAAGATAAGAAAACTCTAGCAGATCTGGATTTCTCGGATGATTTATGCTTAATGTCGCACAAACTCCAGAGACTTGCAAACGAAAACCAACAAACTGACAAAAGAAGCGGGTAGAGAGGACAGGACAAATTTCAGGTGAGTATAGACAACAGGGAGGTAGTGAAGATAACCACAAAACAGAAAAACAACAATCAGCAGAAATCAATATCGATGGAAGAAACTTGAAAGAGGTCACTTCCTTCACTCATCTGGACAGTATCGTTTTAACCGCGAGCGACAGCACTGATGATGAGGATATCGAAGCAAGCCAGGATTGGCATTGCAAAGCGTACGTTCATCACCCTGAAATCGGTTAGGAGTTCTTCAGCATTCTGCAGCATAAAGAACAAGATTAGGATTTTCAAAACAAAAGTCAGATTAGTCATTTATTCTAAATGGATCAGAAACATGCAGCAAGCGTCACGAAGAACACTTTCAACAGGCGCTGCTGAACACTCTGGGAACAAACTAACCAAGCACCTATAGTTCAACAAATATGCCGAAGAAATTGGATATAGATCGGACACACGCTGAGGAGACAATCGAATGATATCGCACATCAGGCACAGCCTTGAGTGGAACGCGAATGGGAAACGAAGATTTGGTTGTGAGTCCGAGAGTTGCATGGAAAAAAATTGCGTGAGGAGGACATGAGAGACTATAGGCAATCGTGCGGTCAGCCAAAGAGAACCACAGAGAACAGGACAATTTGTTTGTCCTGTTGAAGCCTTATGTTCCACTCGGAACCCAAGGGGACAATAATGATAACAATAATAATCAATGGCTCGGACAGAACCCCTTTAAGGCAACTATAAGCTTCGGGTCTAGTCGCTTGACCAAATGAAAGTATGTCATGCCTCACATCTTTTTTAGTTCAAGTAACTATAAACTAAATATTAAGATAAGTTAAAAATCAAATTGATTTTCTCTACTTCAACTCCAATGTAAAGTCAGTGCTACTCACTATACGGATCAGAGACTTGCACTGCGCGTCATAAAGAGCACCTCAAACAAACTACAAACCTTCATTAACAGTTGTCTTCGCTCAATACCACTAAAGATCAGATGGCCGGCCAGAAAAGATCAGCAACAGAGATCTCTAGCAATGAGCGAACCAACCAGGAACCGATTGTGAAACAAATATGCAGAAGGAAATGGAGATGGATTGGCCACACTCTGAGGAAACCATCAAGTGACATCACTAGACAAGCCCTTGAGTGGAACCCGAGAGGGAAGTGGCGAGTTGGTCGTCAGTGCAAACGTGACTTGGAGGAGGTCATGTGAAGAGGAGATGAAAACATGTGGGCAGACTTGGAGCCAGGTGAAGACTCCACTAGAGAACCGAACGCAATGGAGACGTACGGCTGAAGCCCTATGTTCCTCTAGGAATTAAAGGAAACAATAATATAATAATAATAATAATATAATACTTCGGACTAATTGAACTTACCTTTCAGAATTAGCTGGTCTACTTGTAACAGGTTTTATAATAGAAATCTCTTCAAATAAATGTCCCATTACATAGATGAGACCAGCAGTGAATTCAGTAAATGTATCGAATAGTTTTGTTAGAAAATGTCCACCTAGAGACAAAAGAAACACGGAATACAGGAGGAGAGCGACATTGTTAGTCCTATCACAAATGATAATCAATTTATTATAATTATTATATTCTCTTTTAATCAGCTAGGTAATAGGAACAGCGGGACAATACTATACCTTCTACAAACTAATCATTACACAGAGAGAAATAATCGTATATTAAAGGATTGGCTGGACTCAAAGGGAGGTAACTGAGACATGCAGCTTTCATTGATTCTACTAGTACTTTGTTCAGAAGACAACCAAGAAGACACTGACTCAGTTGATGTAAGGTAGCAAACTATGACTACCAGTGAACAATAAGACCTGGACGCATCACCGACAGTGGAGTATGAAGAGATTGCGTACGCAACGGAAAGGAGCAGTCAGGAATGTAAAGTACAAACAGAAGGTGGGTGCTGTGACATTCAAACAGAGAGAAAAGATGACATCAATTTTGACAACCAAAGAATTTCGTTACTAAATATGTCGTTTGTGGAAGCGAATACATAGGTCAAACGTACAGAAAGGCGATTGTCTAGTCGCATGATGGAGTATTTGCCAAAATGGTTGAAAACAGATGAATGCAAAATGCCAAAAACCTAAATAACAAAACATCTTGTGGACTATGGACATGATATCGACGCTGTCAAGTTATTCACTACTGTCAGCAGACAAAGAGACAGGAAGATGCTTGCAACTGAGGAGGAGGCTTGTGCAATTCGAGTTTATAAACCAGGTCTCTGTGTACAAAAGGAGATGGTCGTCACTATGAATCTACCATGGTATTACGTTTACCTGATTATTCTACCTCTTATCATTATTATTATTGTTATTCTTGATTCATTTAAAACTATCTTTTATCAGTAGCATTATCTTAACTCGCTTCAACATTATTATTATTGTTAATGTTATTATTATAACTATTACTATTGATATTACTCAGTTCACAATTCCTGATATATTCTCTAATGAATAATTGTTTATCTAAGTGATGTAATTGAACCGTAATGCATTTTATCATAATTTTAATCTCTCATACACCCTTCCCCCACTTATCTATTTGAACATGACCTGGAAAACATCCGCACTTGTCTTTTTGCATGACTAATTCAATGTAGTTTGTTCGCTTATCAGTCTTATATCTCCCAATGTAATTTCAATAGTATATATGTATCCCTGTATGTAGAGTAATCAGCTGAGGAGTTCTTCAGAAATTTGATGAATTCATTAAATCCTGCTTTATTAACCTGCTTTGTAGCTTGTTTTGATCATATATGCCTGCATTCTATTTCCCGTGTTACGTCATATAACAGGGTGAGTAATACCGAAGTTAGGCATCTGTCGAGTGCTAGGTAAGCAGGGAAAATCAACCGACGAGGTTGTGAAGCGTCTGCATCATTTGAAATGGTTAGGACATGTGTTACGCATGAATGACTAGCCATCACCTTCCTCGACGAGAAATGTTAGCTGAAATATGATCGATGAGGCTGTGGGCGGTCAAACCAAAACAAGGAATCAGTCAACAAAATACATAACAGTTAGTCTAAGTCAGCCACCCAAACGCATAGGGAAGTGCAGACTGCCAAGCTCGCTGGTTGGAGTCCTCCGGATGGTAAGAACCAATGATGGCTGGAGATAATTGGTCGTAAGATGGCTCAAAATCTTTCTCAATGGCTAGTGCAGATGCATTCACTCTTTTTCATTCATTTGTCCTACTCAATAAAACTCTATTCTTCTTCCATATTCCCGTTCTTTTTCCCTCACTCACACTTCTGTTTCTTAACTGTCTTTTGAATCTCTCTTTACTCTCTGCTATTAGTTTGTGAGTTACATGGAGGGAGAGTGTGGCAACTCGGACTGCTGCATATTTGTGCAAAGTCCTACGCGGAAACCAGTCACTCACTCAGTCAGTCAGACATATGAATTTGTGCCGTGTTTCTGATTGACCACACCAAAAAGGCTTCACTTCTCCTTGTTGAAGGCCACACCCAAGACGTGCACCTAAAAGATAGACCATTAGCCAAGGGATTTGAATGACACTCTGTAACAGTTGATAATTAGGCTACTCATCATTCAACTTTCAAAGACAGTAGGCTAAAGATTCAAACTATTGCTGCTTTCCTTTTCAAGGTTTGGGTAACCAGTAAGTATTACGCCAACGGCTCGTCCTATCGAGTGCACAGGACACAGCTTTTAAAAATAAACTCACACACACATACACACAGAGATTACAAAGAGTCACACATACCTGGTCTTAAATTGATTAGTGCACATAAACACTGGCATAAATAAATCTGTTTTGATAAGACTTCTTGTAAATTATACTGACTGGATACATCAAAACCCTAAAGAGTAAACAAGAAAGAAACACAGACCAATAGGAATAGGTATAGTCAAAATAACAGTTAAAATAGTAACAACATTCTGATTGGACATTAGGTAGTACCTAGTGTCGTCAGTCTTGTTCTTTATCTGGTGCAGACGGAATTCTGTTACAGTTAAGTTTGCCATCTGACCACCATGCTCTAGGTGGTCAGCCATCAAAGGGTGCACTGTGGATTGTTGCTGTCGTTCGATGGCTGGAGGAAATCGGTAGGAAACTCTCCTTGAACTATTTTTCGTGCTTCTTGGCACTCACCAGTCAGCAGTAGTCTTCTGAGATGCCAATCCACGTCATCCAGTGATACAGTCGAAGATGCTACCACTGACCTATCCGGAATGATGACTGACCTCCTGGAGGACTGTACGGGGTACTTCGATTGAACACCAGGTAGTATCATGCGCCTAGTCCTTTATCTGATGCAAACAGAATTCTGTCACAGTCAAGTTTGCAATATAGTCACCATGCTAGGTGACTCGCCACAAGTCACGATGCACTCTGAATTAGTGTTATTAGATGGTTGGGAAGCATCAGGAGGAGATGAATCGCGTCTCCGGCTACAGCACCAGGTGACACAGGTTTGAATCTCACTAGGAAAATGAGTTGCTACAAGATTGCAGATACACTGTGCTGACTGGTGAGTGCCAACAAGCATGAAATCTACGTCAATCCAGGCTTCCTGCAGATAGTCTCTAACCACCTAGTAATAATGATAATAATAATAATATTCACATCCAAGATTTTACTCAAGTTCTGATTAACTTCAATGTAGATTTCATTAAGAAACGACATTAATCAGAGAACTGTTGAAAATGAAGGAGTACTGGACAATGGTATCGTCCTAATTATGGACTCTTCAGCAATGCATAGCCATTAACCAACAAAGCGATGAAACCACCGATGACCTTCAGATTACGAGGACAAAATGTCAGTTCGAATTCAGTAATCCGTAATATCTAAACCCTTTCACAATTCGCGATATAGCGCCACTGTCAACCAATCTCATCAGTGAGTATTCACCTCACAGTTGATACGGTGGACTCACATCCCCACTCCTAACCACCGACCACAATCCCTTATTAGATTTTCACGATATCCATCAGGGAGCTGCTAACGAGCTAGAAACTGAAACTTAGATATGATAAATATATTTCTGTCACCCCAATTGTGACCTTGAAAGCCTATTGGTTGTTGACTGTTTTGATTTATCAACGCAATTAGTGTCTCTCAAGGCTATTTAAAGCATATGTATAAAAGTAAGTGATGTCAATTATTTTTGTTGTTGACACGTCAATAGCCAGTCTTCTCTTCTTGTGTTGCGTTCTCGGTGGTATCGTACCATATCGTGTCGTGTTGTTGTTGCCGCTGATAATAGTGGTTAGAACAATAGGCGCACGAATCCACTTAATAGGAATTTCGTTAACGCAACTACCAAGTGTATTAACGGTTATATCAAGATTTTAGGTATAAAAACCCTTATTGCATGAGGGTAGATGATACACTCACTGCCACGGTTGAAATCATAGGAAGCGGGATTCGAACCCAGGATTAAATTGCTTGAACATGTCGACTGTTTAAACCTATTATTATTATTATTATTGTATCCTTTAATTCCTAGAGGAACATAGGGCTTCAGCCGTACGTCTCCATTGCGTTCGGTTCTCTGCTAGAGTCTTCACCTGGCTCCAAGTCTGCCCACACGTTTTCATCTCCTCTTCACATGACCTCCTCCAAGTCCCTTTCGGGTTCCACTCGAGCAATGACTTGTCTAGTGATGTCACTTGATGGTTTCCTAAGAGTGTGGCCAATCCATCTCCATTTCCTTCTGCATATTTGTTTCACAATCGGTTCCTGGTTGGTTTGCTCCCAGATATCCCTGTTGCTCATCTTTTCTGGCCGACCATCTCTTCTTGAGGGAAGTATTGAGCGAAGACAACTGTTAATGAAGGTCCGTAATTTGTTTGAGATGCTCTTTATGACGCGCCAAGTCTCTGATCTGCATAGTAGCACTGACTTCACATTGGAGTTGAAAATCCCGATCCTATTTTTGATGCTGAGTTTTGTTGACCTCCACACAGACTTGAGAGTAGTGAAAGCTTGTCTTGCTTTTCCGATTCTTGCTTTGATATCCTCGTCAGTTCCGCCTGTAGTTGAAACGATGCTTCCCTGATTGGTAGGTTGTTAAAGCAGGTTGCTTCTGTCAGATTTGTCCCATTTATACTGAATGTTGTCTGTTGTTGTTGTTACTGTTGGTGGTGTTGCCCAGGAATTTTCATCACCTCTGTCTTCTTTACGTTCACCTGAAGTCTTATCTTTGATGCTTCTTCTGCTAACTTGTTGCTTTTCGCTTGCACATCTTCCAGTTTGTGGGAAATCAGACATATATCATCGGCGAAGTCCAGATCCTCCAAGTTTTTTGTGTGTGTCCATTTTAGGCCTGTTTCCTCCCTGCCCACTGTTTGTCGCATTATCCAATCTACTGCAGTCAGGAAAATCATTGGCGATAGTAGGCAGCCAGCTTGTCTTACTCCTGTCCTCACTTCGAAGGGTTCCGTGAGTTTCCCGTTGTGGATTACTTGGCATGCAGCATTGTCGTACAGCTGTTGGATGTGATGTATAATTGTCGGTGGCACCTCGTAGTAGCGAAGTAGTTTCCAATAACAAGTCGCTTTTTTCAAATGAAACGAAATAAGCCAAATAAAAGCGAATCATAATAAAAAAAACGGGAAAAAATGTACCAAGAACAAGCCAAACTGTCAAGATGAACCAACTAAAATAATAATAATAACAGTAATAATAATAATAAAGCTTACCCCATCAGCCATTAGAATATGTACACCAGCGCCGTTTGTACTACGACCAATAAATGAAGCGAATGATGCTAAATTCACCCATTTTGTAATATCACCATCACGTGTTACCCCATAATGTGGCATAAAAGCCTCCTGAGGACCAGCATGAAAGTCATTCAGACGAAAATCACATGAACCAGTCAAGGTTAAACCAAATCCTTTCGCTGATAACAATGGATATTGGTGTTGTTTTTTGATTTTATGATTCCCTAACAACACATTGCCGGCATCAACATCATCATCACGACCATCACCATCCACATCTTCGTAATCACTGTCGTCATCTGTTGTGTCACCTGCCATTGTTCCTGATGATAATATATTCTGTTCGGCATTGACATTAACAACATTATCAGTTTCAACTCGACAATCATAAGAATCATCATCATCACTGGGATTATTTTCATTGTTGCATTTGTCAGTAGTGTTATTGACAGGCTTATGAGTAGATTTTTTCATCGAATGATGAATAGAAGGATATGGAGAATTACATCGACGCCATAAAGTGTACTCTGAGAAACCACCAGGTCCTGCACATACATCAGCAAAATATAATATATCCTGTAGGGAAAACAGAAAAAAAACCGAAACACAAATCACGAATTGGTAGAAGTTAGAATTCATGAGCCATTGAATCGGGTCTCAGTGGCTGAATGGTATACGAGCTTGCCTTGTAACCGGAAGGTCCCGGGTTCGAATCCCAGTGGGTGCGTACTGCCGATGATTCCCAAACTAGGATGAAACAGCAGCTGTCCAGTACTCCCTGGTTTTCAATGGTTCTCTAACTGATATCAGTCCGTGATCAACTCGTAAAACGAAACACAAATGAAAAACAAAAGCGGTATTTTTCGAATCAATAAACAAGAAATCTCTGTAGGTGAATGTGTGTGTGTATTTTATTTTATTTAAACGCAGAAAAAAAGAAACTTGGTACAATATGGCACCAAGAAAGATGCGCCACACAATAATAATAAAACAACATAGATTAAAAGTAAAAAATATAAGTAGAAAACGGATAAAGAACTTCATCTGGAAGGAAAACAGTCATGTTTAACAAGTTCAAACAGTATTCGTTAACTATCATCATCAGGAAGGGAAGAAAGAAGGAAATTGCAACACGTTCGCCATTGATTTGGTTTTTGGCGGAGTATTCTTTCAAGCCGCAAGCGGCTACACTCACCTTTTGCATGGCACCTTGCAGATGAAGCCAATGTTCATCTATACTACTTGGGGGGTTGCTGGCAAGCATTGACTGTAACTCATTCTGATATTTCAAAGAAGTAGCAGGTGCTACTAGTTTGATCACATCAACGTTTAGATGAAACCTTTTATGAACCCCACTAAATCGCAAGACGAACTTGGCACACACTAACGCATGATTGGAGTCCAGGCATGTGCTCCAGAAGGAGCAACAGTCTTGTATGCATCCTCGCCACAGGAAACTGACAGCAATATGATCAATCTGAGTCCAAGCTTGATTCGCAGAGGGAGGACGCCAGGTAGCGCTACGGCGATGGTTGTGCCGGAAGTTGGTGCTGGCTAGAAATAGGTTGTGATCCGCGCAAAGCTGCAGAAGACGGTCCCCATTATCTGACCTGCGACCATGTAGTCCCCATTGACCACCCAGACGATTCTCCTCTGAGCTCAGACGCCTGACCTGTGCATTCAAGTCCCCAGCCAGCAGTACGATATCCCTCCAACCCGCCTGTCTCAAGAGATCGCTAAGTTGGTGGTAGAACTCATCCTTCATTGCATCCGGGCTGCAATCCGTTGGTGCATAGGCAGAGACAACAAATAGACACCGCCTATCTGGCCTACTACTTCTTACTTTCGTATAACCTTCCAGCCTCACAGCACATATACGACTGTTAATGGGAATGCAGTCGAGCAATGCAGTTTCGGCTCCAGTGCTCAGTGCGACACCGACGCCACGGGATCCCCGGACAAGCGCAGGTGGTACATACTACTAGAACTTCCAGATGGAGAGGATAATCGAAGCGTGTGTGTGGTTGGCCACCAATACAACCTGATAGTGTACAAGTCTCTAAGGCTAACGAAATTCCTAATCGGTAGATGGTGGCAAAAACCATCAAAAGTTAGAAATTAGATCATCTGGGCTCCGACAGATCAAAAAGTTAAATATTGACGAATCACTTCCTGTCAGCTATCAGGTATTCAACAAAGTTCCACAAGCCTCAAGGTAGCGACTACAACAAACAATAGAGGCAATTGGAATTCGCTTAAAGCAACAGGCATAAAATGGAACCACACAAAAAGAGACTTGGAGGATCTAGACTTCGCCGATGATGTGTCTGATTTCCTACAAACTGAAAGATATGCAGGTAAAAATCAACAAGTTGGTGGAAGAAGCATCAAAGATAGGATATCACTTCAGGTGAATATAGAGAAGACAGAGGTGATGAAGATTCCTGGCCAACAGGAAGAGCAATAACAACAGACAACAATCAGCCAGCATAAATGGGAGAAATCTGAGAGAAACAACCTCCTTCACCTACCTACCGACCAGGGAAGCATCGTTTCAACTATACGCCAAACTGACGAGGATATTAAAGAAAGGATCAGGAAAGCAAGGCAAGCAGCACTCAGAATGAAAAATAAGATCCGGATTTTCAACTCCAATGTGAAGTCAGCGCTGCTATACATATCAGAGACTTAGCGCGTCACAAAGGGCACTTCGAACAAACTATAGACTTTGATCAACAGTTGTCTTAGCTCAATACTTCCCTCAAGAACAGATGGTCGGCCAGAAAAGATGAGCAACAGGGATCTCTAGGAGCGACATTGGGTTAATAACCTAGAAAAAAGCCCGGTCATTGCATTGCATTCACTTGCATGTAATCAAAAAATAGGATAGGCGGGACAGAGTAGGAGTATTAAAAAGTAATACAGTTCGGTGGAGAGACAGAGAGAGGTTAATCACTAAAGCTTTGTTTATCGATTCAATACCACAGTACTCATGCAACGGAAATGACGCAAAGTCTATACCGGAGATATGAAAAGTGGCAACAAAGGGAAGTCGGAGAGACAAAAATAGAGAAAAAATATATACATAAGACAAATTGTGTAACCGTGTGACTAAAACTGATATGATTATGAGTGGCAAAAGTTTATTCTGTCTGTCTGTCTGTTTTCGACATAGAACTTTGCACATATGTGCGGCAGTTCCAGTCGCCACACTCCATGTAGCACACAAAGGAAGAGAAGAAAGTAGGAGAAGTGCATATCAGAGACAGTAAACAGAGGTGTGAGACAAAGGAATAGTGATAACGGAGAACAAAACAGTTTAATTAGAAATCATAAGTCACAAGGAGTGGATGCATCTGCGCCACTGAGAACGATTTTGAGCCATATCACCAATTGTTTCCAACCATTGGTTTTTACCATCCCGAGGAGCCCAAACAGGAAGTCTACACCTTCCTACGCGACTGGCTTAGACTAACTGTTGTAGATTTCATTGACTGGTGCCATGTTTTGGTTTGACCGCCACTGGCTAGCTCTTTTCCAGCCTGACTCTATATCAGCTAACATTGCCCGTTGTCGGGGAAGGCGATGACTAGGCATACATGGCACGTCCTAACCATCTCGGTCGATGTAATTTCACAGTCTCGTCGACTGATTTCCCCGCCTTACCTAGCACTCAACGCCTAACCTGAATATTCCTCACCTTATTATACCACTTCACGCGGGAGATAGAACGCAGACACCTATGATCGAAGACAGATAATCTTTTCATGTCTTCTGCTCTCAATGGCCAGGTCTCACAGCCATAAAGGAGGACGGAGCGGACTGATGAGCAGTACACACGCCCTTTGGTCGATAGCCAGCGGGATATCACGTCTTCTAAGCCAGAGACAGCGTAAACTGGCATATGCGAAACTAGCCCTCTGTATTCGTACTGACATTTCGTCAGAGATCAACCCGTTGGGGCTGATGGTACTTCCCAAATAAGTGAAGCGGTCAACGTTCTCTACCACTTCACTACCTATTTCTAATCTAGGGGTCGGTGTAGTCCAATCCTGCAGCATCATCTTACATTTTACATTTACCGATACCTGCTACCTCGACGTGGTGGTCGGGCTTGCATATCGCAATAACCCAACGAGCTACACTGGCTGGAACTTATGTTCTTGTAGGTCCTACCATGCCAGAAAGGTTGTTTGGATAGCGGTTAGACAAAAAGCAGCTACCCAATCCAATACTATGATTCAAACAAATTCACAAAATATCGTACCGGATCGGTCGGGGCCCGGATTAACAACGACCGCGCTTTCTGCTGCTGTGTCACAGGGCAGAAGTGATAAATATGCTACTGAGACACACCAAACAAAAAATAATAAACAAAAATAGTTTATTCTCGAAACCTTGTCATTCAGTTGTGAACGCTACTGCATCATCACTATGTGATTATTAAAATAAACTTATCTAATATGGAATTACATGACCATGCAAGGCCACCTTTGAGTGTAGTATCACGTACCAGGCGCTCGAGTGGAACATGAATGGAATACGACGAGTTGGCCGTGAGTTAAAGGCTGAGACATTTATAAGATCATGTGAGAAGGAAATGAAAACTTGTGGACAACCATGGAGTCAGCTAAACAAAAAAGACTGAAGAGGAGAGAATAGAATGCGGAGGTGCTGATGACGCCCCCAGAGAACCCAAGGGAATTATTATATATACTTACCTTTCTAGGTGCAGCGCTTGTAAACATACCATTAAATATTGAATCGATATTGGCCATTTTCATTGCTGCTCTAAACAAAAAACACAACAATAAGCGATAAAATAATAATACCTATGTGTTCACTTCGTATACACATGAATAATCAAATTTTATTTATTTATTCATACTGTCTGGTAGATGACGGTTATACCAGAGGAATCCAAGATACGCAATTTACTTCTACTTAGAACTTGTTCGCTAGATCTACTTGCCAACTGTCGGTTCGCTGAGATTTCACTGGTTACAGGTTCGATCACAATTCGACATCAGGTTAGAGAACCATTGGAAAATCTTTGAGTACTGGACTTGTGATTGATAGGTCCTGGATTCAAAGCCCGATGGGTGTGTGCTGATAAAGAGTCACCAGCTGGGACGAAACAGCTGTCAGTACTCCTAAATCTATTTACATTACAGTGAGTAGTGGTGAGTGTCATCACCCGGACGCGTTCTCGATACCAAAACAACATTAGCTTTACCTCAAGGAACCATCTGTAAGTATGGTATGTGCTTTACACCGTCTAAGTGAAAACTACTGTTACAAGATTGGCAGGATCCTGTACCTCTTACAGGTGAACCTCTTGAAGCTGTCGATAAGTTTGTGTAACTGGGTTGCGGAGGCGCGACGGATGAGATTTCCAACGGTGTCATGAAAGCTAGGGTGGTATACGTTAGCTTGAGCCACCTCTGGTGACGTTAACGTGGCACTCAAAAGTAGGGTATAAAATGCTTCGGTGCGGGCTGTCTTGCTCTACGCCTGTGAAACCTGGCCTCTCCAAGTTGAGGATGTGCGGCGACTCTGCGTATTCGATCACCGCTGTCTCCGCAGGATTGCCTGTGTTCGATGGCATCCTCATGTGAGTAATTCTGAGGTGTGTCTGAACACAGTGGAGATCATCATTCGTTAAGTTTCGTGCTCTGGAAACACCGGCTCCACAAGGCTTGGATATGTGCTGAGAATGTCAACCCAGAGGCCTCCGTACAGGTCTCTGTTCGCTAGCCCTGGGACGGAATGCAAAAAGCGGAGGTGGTCGGCCCATGACGTGGAGTTGTGGGATGAAGGATATTTATGGTAGGTTGACATCGGTTGGTGTGTCACGACTCCCTGGTTATAGTCCGAGAGATAACTCGAGTCAGGTGGCTCGCTCGAAACGTTATCGAATATAGCCAAAAATCGTAATCAATGGCGAACGTGTTACAATTTCCTTCTTTCTTCCCTAGCCGGTAACAGTTGACGACTGCTGTGTAAACTTGTTAAATTTGATTTTTGTTCCTTCTAGATGAAGTTCTTTATCCGTTCTCCACATATATTTTTACTTTTAATCTTTGTTGTTTTATTATTATTGTGTGGCGCATCTTCTTGGTATCATATTGTACCAAATTTTTGTGTTTAAATAATGAATAACAACAAGGAACTATCCAAGAATCCCCATTATGAGGTGGTATAGCAACGGAGACACGTCAACAATGTAGAACGCAAAATCACTATAACTATGCAAAGTCTGACATTATTATGATAGAGATTTCTAGTTCAGATGGATCATCCCAGTGTTGTTTCGTTCACTGAGTTGAATGATTTGATTGCAGGAGTTTCATTGTCTGTCTAGACAACATTGCCAGTAGTAAGTTCAATAGAAATCTCCTCGAGTACACATACAACACTTTCTGTCGTTTAAGTAATCAGTGATCAGATATGCACCCGGAACAATATGTTAAAATCATTCATAAGTATTCCTACGATTCTATACTAATATTTCACTTCTCCAAAATAACACACTAGGCATATGATTACGCAAGTTCGTCGTCTAATTTATGAACACCCCTCAAAATGGGCTGATCATTTTAAAGGACTGTTGAATCGACCATCACCAGCGAATCGCCCAGAACTGCCTGCCACAAGGACACCAATCCTCCAACGAAAGCAGAAATTCTGTATGCGATCAAGCTACTGAAACCCAGCCGCAAAGGCAGCAGAACCAGACAGAACTCCCCCACATTGAAGCACTGAGAACGGACACAGAGACTGCGGCAGTTGTGCTCACGCCATTATTGCAAAAGCTCTGGAAAGAAGGCAAGGTACCTACGGATTGGAAAAAGGAGTGACTACCCTGTCAAGATACCAAAGAAGGGCGACTTACACCTCACACTGAAAGAACTGGCTTGGAATCATGCTCTTGTCCACGCCAAGTAAAATGCTAAGTGGCATCATCCTGGAGAGAATAAAGTATGCACTGGATATAGAACTCCGCCACCCACCAGAACAAGCTGGATTCAAAAAAGGCAAATCATGTGTTGATCAAATTGCAACTCTACGCATCGTCATCACGGAACAAAGCATGGAATCAGAGTCAAACCTCTGCCTCAACTTCATCGACTTTGAAAAGGCCTTCGACAGGGTTGACCGAGAAGTAATTTGGAAACTATTTCAACACTACGGCGTACCTCAAATCTTTGTTAACCTCATTCAACAGCTATATGACAGTGGCACGTGTCAGGTGATCCATAACGGTAAATTCAGAGAAGCGTTCGAAGTACATACAGGAGTCAGACAAGGCAGTCTGCCTATTATCACAGAACATATTCTTAATTGCGGTGGACTGGATTATGCGTCAGATTGTTGGGGGCACGGAGTCAGGAATACGCTGGACGACCGACAAGAAGACTCTAGAAGATCTGGACTTCGCAGATGATTTTTGTCTAATGTCACACAAACTCGAAGATTTACAGGTGAAAACCAACAAACTATCTGAAGAAGCATCCAGAGAAGACAGGACTCCAGGTTAACATAGAGAAGACGGAGGTGATGAATATAACCAACCAAGCAATCGACAGCACCAACAACCAGCACCAATCAACATCAACAGGAGAGACTTAACAGAGGTTACTTCCTGCCTTCACTTATCTAGGGATCATCGTTTAAACTACAGGTGGAACGGATGAAGATGTCAAAGTCAGAATCGGAAGTGCAAGATACGCCTTCATCAACCAACCTGAAACCAGTTTGGAAATCTTCTGCACTAACTCACCCAGCATAGAGAACAAGATGCACATTGTTAACACCAATGTGAAGTATGTTCTTCGATACGAGCCAGAAACTTGGCGTGTAACGAAAAGGATTTTCAACAGGTTGCAGACTTTTATCAACGCCTGCATTCCCTGGGTCCATATTGCAGATCAAATGGCAGGCCGGAAAGAATTAGCAACGAGAAACTCTGGCTGGCTGGGCACAAACCAACCAAGAGACGATCGTTCAACAAATATATAGGAGAATATGGAGATGCATCGAGCATACATTGAGGAGGCTATCGAATGACATCGCGCGCAATGCAAGCCATCGCTCGAGTGGAATCCAAATGGGAAGTGACAAGTGGGTCGTCGGTGCAAGGGTAACATGGAGGAGATCGTGTGAGGAAGAGATGAGGGATTAGGGCCAATCGTGGAGCTAACCAGTTGAAGAAGATGGCAGAAAATAGAAGAAAGTGGAGATGTGTTGTTGAAGGAAGTGATATATTCGGTCAATCACCTACCCTAACCTTACCTAACCATACTAGATCCAATTGGATCTTCCACCTCATCACTGAAACCTTCTCAACAATCAATCAATCATGAAAAATATGAAAAGCGAAAACGAGAGAAAAAAAAAGCGAATACTTGTCTGTCATTCCACCCCACATACCGATTCATAAAAATGCCTTTCTTAATCATTTCATAGGGATTACATCGTTCATGACTTTCAGTCACCTTTGTCTTCGATAAATGATCCAACTGATTCTGATAATTAAAATAAAAAGAAGGGGAAATAAAATTTTCTCGAAAATATTACGGATAAAACCGAACAATTGCATAATACACCTCTGTGATAAAGCATAAAACAAGTCATTCAGATGACAAATACTTACCAGATGGTGTGTGTGTGTGCGCGCGCTGATAGCAAGCAGAGAATCAGGCAAGTCACAACCTAGAAAAGGTCGAAACGAGCGACCAAATGAACATAGAACCTTGAAGTCCCACCTCACAAAGCCAATTTCATTAGTAATTTCTTCGCTGGACTTTCCGAGAATCGTCAACTTCATTATCATTATTATTATTGCTTCCTTTAGTTTGTAGAGGAACATGAGGCTTCAGCCGAACGTCTCCACTGAGTTCGGTTCTCTGCTAACGTTTTCACCTGGATCCATGTCTGCCCACATGCTTTCATCTCATCTTCGCATCACCTCCTCCTCCATATCACCCTCGCACTAACGACCAACTCGCCGGTTCCCGTTCGGGTTCCACTCGACCGATGGCATGGCGTGTGATGTCACTTGACGGTATGTTTTTTTAGAGGATGGCCAATCCAATCCACCTCCATTTCTTCCTGCATTACCAGAGATCGCTGTTGCGGATAATTTCCGGCCGGCCATCTGATCTTGAATAGTATTGAGTGAAGACAGTTGTTGATGAAGGTGTGTAGTTTGTTCGAAGTGGCCTTCGTGACACCCTGGCCAAGTCATTGATCCTCATAGTAGCATTGACTTTACACTGGAGTTGAAAATCTGGATCTCATCTTCATTTTTATGCTGAGTGCTGTAGACCTGCACACAGACTCAAGAGAAATGAAAACTTGCCTTGCTTTCCTGATCTTCGCTTTGACATCCTCGTCAGTTCCGCCTGTAGTTGAAATGATGCTTCCCAGGTATGTAGGTAGGTAGGCAAAGTAGGTTGCTTCTTTCAAATTTCTCCCATTTATGCTGGCTGATTGTTGTCTGTTGTTATTGCTCTTCCTGTTGGCCAGGAATCTTCATCACCTCTGTCTTCTCTATATTCACCTGAAGTGACATCCTATCTTTGATGCTTCTTCTGCCAACTTGTTGCTTTTTACTTGTATATCTTCCAGTTTGTGGGAAATCAAACATATATCATCGGCGAAGTTCAGATCCTCCAAGTCTCTTTTTCTGTGGGTCCATTTTATGCCTGTTTCCTCGCTGCCCGCTGTCTGTCGCATTATCCAGTCTACCGTGATCAGAAAAATCATTGAGGATAGTTGGCAGCCCTGGCACACATCATACCTTCTTGTGAAATAACATGGATTGAGCTTATAGACATTGAACAACCTCTTTCCATGCATTGCTCCTGAAGCTTTCATGAAGATCTGAATTCAACAGTAATCCATGTCTGAAATTCAGTCAAAGTTCGTTCCTATTACCTCTCATCATAAAAGCCACACATATTTCACCAGACACAAGAAACAGTTGTAACCAAACAGATATGAACGTCTCATAAAACAGACAACAGTAGGATCAACGAGGATGACAGGGTTACACAATTCACTTTACATATCCCAAATGATATCTGCTTGGTATCTTCTATCCCCTCCACAAAATAGACAATCAGTTCGACTGTATGACGGAGCTGTCAGAAACAAGCCAACTTCAGTCCAGTGATCATAAGCTAGATGTCACAAACCTTCTGCGGCCTCGACTCCACAGGAACTAAAATCAACTCCTGCAAGTATTGAATCCATTCCGGAAACATGATCGATCATACCTGGAAGTCAAGTGAACACGGTGGATGGATGGATGGACAGATATCTATGAATTGCCTTTCAATATTTTGACTTCTTACACGATCCAAAGTGCTTCGAAGCTCAATAACATCTTCCACATTTCTCCAACACATCGAAGACTTTTTACGAGTTGATCATGGATTGATATCAGTTAGAGAACTATTTAAAACCAGGGAGCACTGGACAGCTGTTTCATCCTAGTTTGGGAACTATCGGTAGTACGCACTCACTGGGGTTCGAACCCAGGACCCATCAAAGATTACCTTCTCGTAGTCCATCTAAACACTGAGACCTGTGAATCGTGTAAATTATCACCACCATATTAAAAATGGTGACACGAATTCCTTCAATATGTGTAATTTACTTTCTTCACAATTCATGTAACTGGACATTGTCTCACAAAACAGACGTCAACTACTGATCCATTTGTTCCACTGAGTATTCCCAACAACCAGATTATGAAAAACATCCATTTGTAATGCTGAGCGATTTGATTGGTTAGTCCAAGGTCATTTGACTGTACTCTCTCTCTCTCTCTACTTCGGCTATCTCTTACGGAAGGATGAGCCGGCTTCATGAACATCTCGAATCATCGCTGCCCAGGCGCGGCGATCTGATAAAGAGAGTTCATGAAGTTTCATGGGAATTTGGTACGAGTGATGTCCCCAGAATCGCTCGGCCTTTTGTTTGAGAGTGCAGCTCTAGCCTTTACACAACCAAGTGTGACCTACAAGGCAGTAGGAGTGGAGTAGGGAGTCCACTATCCATTGGCAGCCGGTGACCGGAGTTCGGTTCATACGCCTTTTTGAATGGGGCCAGACATCCAGGACATCCAACAAGCCCTTTGTCCATACGTCTGCTGGTGAGCTCCAGTGAGCTTCATACGCCAGTCGTTGGAGGTTTGGAATCAGGGTTTAGCCATCTCCCCTAGACTGTCATCCAATAGACAGTCAACCCAGTGAAGAGCGCCGAGCATCCGCTTTCGCCCTCTCACTTTGGTGAAAAACACCTCCACCACGTGAAAGCAGTGAGTAGGACTTCCTCAGGAGAGGCTATGTAAGACGCCCGGTCATATGGGAGCATTTCAAGAGGTGTGCGGAGGGGTGGCCGACCCGCAGCGCTAGGCACCCACCCCCGACCATTCTGAGGCTTTGGAGGTGGTGTCTATTCTTCACTGTTGCCGCATTTTTAACAGGCTACTGCAGAAGTTCATCAACACCCGTCTTCACTGGCTCGATACTGACTATCAGATGGCTGACCGAATCGGATAAGCAGCAGAGAATTCTGCCAGGCATCGAACCAACTAAGAACCCATCACCCAGAAAATATGCAGAAGGAAGTAGAGACGCACTAGATACAACACTTAGGAGACTGTTAAGTGATATTGTGGTGACAGCTGTTTGCAAGCCAAAATTATAAACAAGAACAAAGCCTAACCTTGAGGAACTCAAGGTGTCAGCGGATACCATTCGCAGATATATCACCGGACTGTCTAAGAAACGGCCACAAAGAGATGACAGAATAACCTTCAGCAGGAAAACAACCAATCAGAAAACGTTGCTTCTCTGCTAACAATAACGCTAATAATAATGTACATAAAAATCTATAAATATCTGTTGATTTTCTCAATAAACGATCTGTTGCCTGGCCCTTGTCTTCTGTCGTTACAAAATCACACGCCAAGAAACAGCCGTGTATTATATAACTGGCGAAGTTCAACAATAGCGTCCCAGGAGTGCAAACGCTCCAGTGACCTGGAATGCATGCTAGTCGTTGGCTAACGGCACATGCCATTATCATAGCTGAAATATTAACGCCATTCACCAAGCAAGGAGCAAATTTCACCCAGATCACGTTTTAAAGTACTGTTTGGGTAATGTGTTGATAGCTCTTTAGGGATTAGCATTAGGGTTAGGATAGGTGTTGTAATTAGGGTTAAGATTAAGGTTAAGGTTACGATTAGGGATAGATTTAGAGTTGATGTCATTTATTTTGATTTGTTTTATTATCGACATTTTCCTGGTAAGTATTCGTCGATCCTCTCACTGGAAACAATAGTAATTCAACAAAGGGCTTTTGGGGAATACTGCACAACAGGATAAGAGAGATAAACGATTCACAAAAACAGCTCATCTTCGGTCACCTCGGTGAATACATGTACAGAAACTAGTCTAACTTAGCAACTCATACTCCTCATTATAACTTGGACGTATTTTCAAGTCATGTCAGAGAAAGATACCCTGTGTTAATGTGCTTTCAAGCATGTTCTTGTAAATATACGTCATTTTTTATACAAAATTCCTCATCTTTGTGATTGGTTGGCTCAAGGTCATTCGTGCGTTCACACCTCTGGGGACGCTATTCTTCAACTTTGCCATATAACTTATAGATTTAAAGATAAGCAAATATGAGACTACACATTAACATAGAACAATACACACTGAGAGAAAAAAAAATTTTATCAAACCTTATAAGCCAGCATTTCACCAACAAGTTTTGATGAACAAAATTTATCTTGATTACTCATTTCTTTAATAGGTGGACCTAAAGCTTCAGGATCACTCGGAGAAATTAGGATAGACTTCAAATGCGAAACAGTGCACACCTCCGGCTTATCATGAATTGACCATGTCCAGATTAGATCATTATCCGCAGAGGCTTCATCTCTTCCTTCATACCAAACTAAATTTGGATCTTTAGATTGATAGATCTCTCCTGGTGAATATGCTTCCGATTGCTGTTGTTGTTGTTCGTCAGATTTACTACCTAGACCAAGACCACTTCGACCTTTCTGTTTACTCATTGCAACCGGTTCCACTGCACCCTGAGCATTAATACCTAAACCTTGACCTTCCTCGTAACCCATTTTCCGCTATTGATGATTAAAGGGGCAAAGAAATAAAAACACAAAAATCGAAACAGTAAAATTGTAAATTCTGTAATTATAATTATTATTGACTAGAAGGTTTTATAATGAGCTGATATCAGTTTGGAACTATTCAGCAGTAGACACCAACAGCTAAGGTTCCAAACCAGGACCTTCCAGTTACGAGGCGAGCTTGTAGACAATTAAGCCACTGGGACCCGATACAATGACCAGCCCATGAATTCCAACTTCTGCCAATTCACTACATAGCACGACTGGCACTAGCCAATATCATCGGGACGAGTATCCCTCCTCACACTCGATCTGCTGTACCCCAATGATGTCAGCTCATGATGAAACCATGTAACCAATCAAATCAAATCCCTGCAAAACAACACTTGAATATTATTGTTTCCTCTAATTCCTAGAGGAATATAGGGCTTCAGCCGTGCGTCTCCAATGCGTCCGGTTCTCTGCTAGAGTCTTCACCTGGCTCCAAATCTGCCCACACGTTTTCATCTCCTCTTCACATGACCTCCTCCAAGTCACCCGCCCTCGCACTGACGACCGACTCGCCGCTTCCCTTTCGGGTTCCACTCGAGCAATGGCTTGTCTAGTGATGTCACTTGATGGTTTCCTAAGAGTATGGCCAATCCATCTCCATTTCATCCTGCCTATTTCTTTCACAATCGGTTCCTGCTGAGTTGGTTCGCTCCCATAGATCTCTGTTGCTGATCTTTTCTGGCCGGCCATCTGATCTTGAGTATTGAGCGAAGACAACTGTTAATGAAGGTCTGTAGTTTGTTTGAGGTGCTCTTTATGACGCGCCAAGTCTCTGATCTGTATAGTAGCACTGACTTCACATTGGAGTTGAAAATCCGGATCTTATTTTTGATGCTGAGTAGGGCTGTTGACCTCCACACAGACTTGAGAGTAGTGAAAGCTTGTCTTGCTTTCTGATCCTTGCTTTGACATCCTCGTCAGTTCTATGCGCCTGTAGTTGAAACAATGCTTCCCAGGTAGGTAAAAGAGGTTGTTTCTTTCAGGTTCCTTCCATTTATGCTGATTGCTGTCTATTGTTGTTGCTGCTTTTGCTGTTGGTGTTGATCAGGAATCTTCATCACCTCTGTTTTTTCTACGTTCACCTGAAGTGATGTCCTATCTTTGATGCTTCTTCTGCCAACTTGTTACTTTTCACTTGCATATATTCCAGTTTGTGGGAAATCCAACATATATCATCGGCGAAGTCAAGATCCTCCAAGTTTTTTGTGTGAGTCCATTTTATGCCTGTTTCCTCATTGCCCACTGTTTGTCGCATTATCCAATCTACTGCAATCAGGAAAATCATTGGCGATAGTAGGTGGCCAGCTTGTCTTACTCCTATCCTCACTTCGAAGGATTCCGTAAGTTTCCCGTTGTGGATTACTTGGCATGCACCATTGTTGTATAACTGTTGGATGCGATGTATAATTGTCGGTGGCATCCCGTAGTAGCGAAGTAGTTGCCAAATCATCTCTCGATCGACGCTGTCTGTCGAAGGCCTTTTCAAAGTCGATTACGTTGAGATAGAGAGGTAACTGCCATTCCAAGCTTTGTTCAATGATGATCCGTGATGTGGCGATTTAATCAATGCATGACTTGTTTCTCCTGAATCCGGCCTGTTCCGGTCGAATATTATTACTAATATTATTAATACAAACTTGGTACACACCATGGGCATCAAGAGATGTGCTACACAACAATAGATAACGAAAAATAGGGATAGAATAAATAAGGGACAACACATCCAGAAAGCGAATAAGCAAATCTATCAAGGTCATTCAGCATCATTATTCAACACTTCAGGTCAATTGAAACGGAACAACATGCAGTGGAAATTGGTCAGACTTTCTTTCAAAAGAAATCAATATGCAAAGAAAAGCATGGTTACTTCGGTTCGTAGAAGCCATTGTCACCAGAAGACTTCGCCCCAACCTATGCATACAGAAAGAGAGTGTAACTAATCTCTCACTATCCTACCTGGCAACCGTAATTGTTTTGTTCGTTTGGTTTTGTGTTTTGTTTTGTTCAGTTGCATAACATTCCACTCAATCTTGATTTTGATCTTTACTCACTGAGTTGAACTTACTATTACGGTTCCAAACCTACTACTAAATTATTTTATCTAATGATCAGATGACGATCTGGTCAAATCAGTTCTAAATCCCTCGCCATTACCATCTTGGCGATGTCGCAGGGGTGGACAGCTGAAAACATGGCTTGGTACAGTCAAGGCTGATATGGAGTGCCTGGGGCTACAAACCGTCTACGGACTCCGTCTGTGGAACAAGAATTGGATAACCCTGTCACAAAACCTTGCATCAGATCGCCGCGCCTGGGCAGCGATGATTCGAGATGTTCATGAAGCCGGCTCATCCTCCCGTAGGAGATAGCCGAAGTAAAGTAAAGTAAGTAAGTATTTTATAATTTTACTTCACTATTCACCGCCTCCCACCATCCTGAATTCTCCACTCTGTTGTTCTGTCTTATATTTTGTCTCTAGTTCATCCTTGTCTCCAAGAGAAATCCGAATTCCACCCCTTTGTCTACTTACTACGTAGACAGTTTTTTTTTACTACAGCTTGATTCCACACCGTATTTTTGTTACAAGTATGGAATTTTCAGCATGTGATATCTCTAGCCCAAATTTCGCAGGTCGACTATTGATATCAGGTGTGCGTCGGCAGGGGATCGACACCCGGACCATGTGCATGGTCGGCGAGAGTCATAACCGCTGTGCCAACGACGCACTCTTTTAGCACTAAATAATTGTCTACTTACATCATCTTTGAAATTATATTGCTTATACTCTCTACCTATAACTCGAAGTGATTGTACAAAGTATATTTAGACACTATTTTGTAACATTATAATTCATTTATTTGAGATGTAGGCAGTTGAAGAGAATTCACGAAATAAAACAAGCTCGTATTATCCTGTAAATTTGTCAGCCAAACTGGGATCAGACAACACAGGAAGGGAACTCATCATGGGTAGAGAAGCTCTCGGAGAAATGAATGAAAACGGAGAACTCTTCGCCGACTTCTGCGCCTTCAATGAACTAGTGATTGGTGGCAGCGTATACAAACACAAGGATATCCACAAGGCTACATGGGTGCCACCAGATGGGCGAACAAAAAACCAAATTGACTTCATCTCAATCTCAAGGAAGTGGAGGCGAAGCCTAGTGGACACGAAAGTAAGAAGAGGAGCAGACGTTGGCTCAGACCACTATCTCGTATAAGGGACAATCCAAATCAAATTAAAAGCTTTCAGAGAATCAGGAGCTGCAGATAGACCACAAGCCAAGTTCAACACTCAGAAACTGAAGGACCAGGACACAAAGGACATCTTCACTGCAAGCATAAAGGACAAAGCCGAGACACAAATCAACACTAGCGAAGAGGTCAACGTCGAAAAGCACTCTAACAACTTGAAAGCAGTGTGGAGTCAAACCTGCATGGAAGTTCTAGGCAGAAAGAAGAGACAGGACAAACAGTGGCTCACTACGGACACTTGGAGACTAACAGAAGAGAGAAGGATGGTGAAACAAAAGATTCTCCAGTGCACCGATGAGCAACAAAAACAGGATTTGAATGCAAACTACAAGACACTGAACAAAACAGTAAAGAAGAGTGCCAGAGAAAACAAAAGAAAGTATTATGAAACCATGGCAAGGGAAGCAGAACAAGCTGCAGGCAAAGGAGACCTCGCAACACTCTACCAAACTACTAGGAACCTATCGGGCAAACGTTTGACACAAATCAAGCCGGTGAAGGATGACAATGGAAAGTCACTCAACAAACAAGTGGAGCAAAGGAAACACTGGGCTGAACACTTCGAAAGACTCCTAAATCGACCACCAACGACAACCCGCCCAGCAATACCAACAACGGAGACAGAGCTACCAGTGAACACCAACACCCGACGAATTCAGAAGTCCTGAAGGCAATCAAGATGCTAAAAGCTGGAAAAGCAGCAGGACCAGATGGAATCCCAGCAGAAGCATTGAAAACGGACCCAGAAACAATAGCGGAATTGATGACGCCACTACTGGAGAAGGTGTGGAAAGAAGGCAAAGTACCCGAGGATTGGAAGAAAGGATACTTATTCAAACTACCAAAGAAAAGAGACCTAAGTCAATGCAAGAACTGGCGCAGAATTGTTTTCCTGTTCATCCAAAGCGAAATACTAAGCCGCATCATCCTGGAGAGAATCAAACATGCCCTGGATGAAAAACTTCGACCGGAACAGGCCGGATTCAGGAGAAACAAGTCATGCATTGATCAAATCGCCACATTACGGATCATCATTGAACAAAGCTTGGAGTGGCAGTCACCTCTCTACCTCAACTTCGTCGACCTTGAAAAGGCCTTTGACAGCGTCGATCGAGGGATGATTTGGCAACTACTTCGCTACTACGGGGTGCCACCGACAATAATACATCTCATCCAACAGTTATACAACAATGGTGCATGCCAAGTAATCCACAACGGGAAACTTACGGAACCCTTCGAAGTGAGGACAGGAGTAAGACAAGGCTGCCTACTGTCACCAATGATTTTCTCGATTGCAGTCGACTGGATAATGCGACAAACAATGGGCAATAAGGAAACAGGCATAAAATGGGTACACACAAAAAACTTGGAGGATCTGGACTTCGCCGATGATATATGTCTGATTTCCCACAAACTGGAAGATATGCAAGTGACAAGCAACAAGTTAGCAGAAGAAGCATCCAGAGAAGATAAGACTTCAGGTGAACATAGAGAAGACAGAGGTGATTAAGATTCCTGGCCAACACCAACAGCAACAACAACAACAGACAACAATCAGTACAAATGGGAGAAATCTGACAGAAGCAACCTACCGATCAGGGAAGCATCGTTCCAACTACAGGCGGAACTGACGAGGATATCAAAGCAAGAATCGGAAAAGCAAGACAAGCTTTCATTTCTCTCAAGCCTGTGTGGAGGTCAACAGCACTCAGCATCAAAAATAAGATCCAGATTTTCAACTCCAATGTGAAGTCAGTGCTACTATACGGATCAGAGACTTGGCCAGTACGTCATAAAGAGCATCTCAAACAAACTACAGACCTTCATTAACAGTTGTCTTCTCTCAATACTCAAGATCAGATGGCCAGAAAAGATCAGCAACAGGGATCTCTGGCAATGAGCGAACCAACCAGGAACCGATTGTGAAACAAATATGCAGGAGGAAATGGAGATTGATTGGCCATACTCTGAGGAAACAAACCATCAAGTGACATCACTAGACAAGCCATTGTTCGAGTGGAACCCGAAAGGGAAGCGGCGAGTTGGTCGTCAGTGCAAGGGCGACTTGGAGGAGGTCATGTGAAGAGGAGATGAAAACGTGTGGGCAGACTTGGAGCCAGGTGAAGACTCTAGCAGAGAACCGAACTCAATGGAGACGCACGGCTGAAGCCCTATGTTCCTCTAGGAATTAAAGGATACAATAACACAATCATAATAATGTTTGTTCTTTCTTTATTTAAACTAATAAAGGGAACCGGCTGTATGAAACTTCATGTTACTTTAATTCGTGAAAAATTTCTATCGAGACATATAGAAAATCAAAACAAGTCATTCCGCGAAGAGACTCTTTTCAAAAAATTTGTTATTAAGCTGTACAATCGTATATATATATGGCTTTTCAAAGAAATTATACCCTGTGAAGTAAATTGAATCAAAGATGTGTGAATAAATAACATAATAATAGTACGAAATTAGTATTAGCTGACGATATCATTAAAAGAAGGATCTCATAGTCCTTGAAAAGAAAATTCCCTGCTGCATCGTTGAGAATAGCATTTTCTAGTCGATTATTACTGTTCAGACACAGGGATATACACAAGGCGACATGCACTTTACCAGATGGACACACCAAAAACCCGATAGACTTCATTTCAATCTCAAGGAAGTGGAGAAGGAGCCTACTGGACACAAGATCGAGGAGAGGAGCAGATGTGGGTTCAGACCTGGATTTCGCGGATGATTTATGTTTGATGTCACACAAAATCGAAGACTTACAAGCGAAAACCGACAAACTGGTCGAAGAAGCAGCAAAGACAGGACTGACTCCAGGTGAACATAGACAAGACGGAGGTTATGAAAATAACCAACCAACAACAACAGCAACATCCAGCGACAATCACCATCAACGGGAGGGATTGGAAAGAGATTACTTCATTTACTTATCTAGGGAGCATTGTCTCAACTACAGGAGGAACTGACGAGGATGTCAAATCGAGAATCGGGAAGGCGAGAAACACATTCATCAACCTGAAACCAATCTGGAAATCTTCGTCACTCAACATCAACAACAAAATTCGGATTTTTAATACAAACGTCAAGTCAGTTTTGCTATACAGATCAGAAACTTGGCGGGTCACAAAGAATATTTCCAATAGGTTGCAGACATTTATCAACAACTGTCTTCGTTCTGTACTGAAGATCAGATGGCCCAAAAGAATCAACAACAAGAAACTATGGGAACAAACAAAACAAGAACCAATCGCCCAACAAATATGCAGGAGAAAGTGGAGATGGATTGGACACTCACTGGCTGAGGAGGCCACTCGCTGGGTGACATCGCTCGTCAGGCCAATGCTCGAGTGGAACCCAAAAGGGAAGCGGCGAGTGGGAGATCCAAGAGTGACATGGAGAAGATCGTGTGAAGAAGAGTTGAAAAAGTATGCACTAACATGGATGCAAGTGAAAAGTACAGCAGAAGACAGAAGCAAGTGGAGACGTGCAGTTGAAGCCCTATGTTCCACTAGGAACCCAAGGGGACAATAATAATAATACAACTCGGGTTTTGTCCAAGAGGGTGCAAGAACACTATACTACATGGTTAGGAAGAGGTGGAATTGGGGCATCTGGTCAACGATGATCACCCTATCTCTATAGCCTCCGCCTTTAAAATCATCTACAAGGAGATCTGTATTGCTGAAGATTTCGCCATCGAAATAGAAAAGCCAGATCTTTCTGTATGCAGAAAAAGTTCGTTCAACCTCTTGAACTTTCATAGTCTTAATCCCTCTTTGCTTAAGTATGATAATCCGCACTCATATTTTGGCTTTACTTATTTTTCGATTTGTTTATTCAATTCGTATATTCTTCCATTATTATTTCACTTGTCCCATTTGTCATTATAAATCAAAAATTTTGTTTTGCAATGTTGAATTCTATGTTATCAAATTTCACACAAGGTTTTACGTAAACAGCTTTATTCTTAGGCTGAGGTTAACATTAACATTTCTATAAACTAATACACTTTTCAAATATGACTTACCATAATCTTCCAAGCTCCAACTGTTGGATCGCATATCTACATCAAAAAATAAAAATAATAGTATATAGTACAACATGATATGTAAATAATATCAACAAAACGTTTGAAGTTTCAGTAGCAGTGGAATCCATTTTTACGGGATGGGGTTGCTAGCCAGCTTCATGCCCAACCTTCCCTCTTTACCAGTCTTATTACCTACTGGCTTAGCGGGGTAAAAGAGTGTGTCTGCGGCCGAGGATCGAACCCCGGACCACACGAGGCGTGGTTGGCGAGCATTCTGCCACTGTGCCATCGACGCATACTACAAGATAAGAAATGTTGTAGTGAAACAAAAGGGTATTATTGATATAAGCATAAAACTTGGGCACTGTGGTAGAGTGTAACTCCATTATGGATAAGACTATTTTGATAAATCACAGTGTTACAGTAATATTAACTGATGACGTTTCGAGCACAATTTATTGCTCATAATCATATCAAGTTACTCACACAGCTTTTTCCTTCATTTATATATATGTATGGAAAAGTTGTGTGAGTAACTTGATATGATTATGAGCAATAATTTGTGCTCGAAACGTCATCAGTTAATATTACTGTGTGATTTATCACAATAAAATCTTACCCATAATGAAACAAGAGGGTATACCGTTAAGAGGGTAGGTTAGATGATGAAGCAGTAGATCCCCACTGATTGATTAAGGTGTGCCTGAGATTTCCTACACTCACATATCGATGCATCACGTCCCCAAACTCGGACCACTTGTGTGTGTATGTGGTTGCTCGGTTGGTTGGTTGGTGAGCACTTTATCTCCATTTATTAATACCTGATTTCTCCATCCCCTATCACACCTTTTAGCCACTGTAATATCCTCCAGTTTTGTTTCTCTCTTCTACTGGTATACTGTTTGAAAGAACGGTGATTTTAACTAATAGGACTACTGTATAATAATCTATGTTAGTTTGTTAGTCGTTCAAAAAGTAACAATAATAATTTGCCTTATTCCGAAATGGTACTTCTGACACAGCGTGAAATTCTCAGCATTTGCTACAATATTCCACTGAATTTACTCGACAACGGCAAAAATAATATCACGGGGTATACGTAACCAAGATTGATAATGGCAGCTGTCTTTGGTATCAGAATTGGCAATAAAGTCCAACAAATGTACAAAATGTGCAAAATAATAATAGTGTTAACAGCTAAAATTATACGTTAATTGAAAAAACGTCACCGTAAATTACAAACAGGAGGAAATAATAGAGCCAATCCTTTTCCTAATAGGTAGGTTATAGGCTTCGAGCTTAACACTATCTCTATCACGTAGAACGCGGGCCAAATATGGCACCGCCGTTTCTGTACTTCGTTGTAAGAGCATATAATCTTATAAGGTGATTTCTAGTCCTACATGATGAGATGTAGGTGTAAAGGAGGGGAAGAGTTGAGAATGACGGGAGTGTTGAGAGTCAGACAATACGGATTATACCATTTCTCACATCAATTCAGGCGTCAATCGACTATAGTATAGCAGTAACGAGCTGAGTTAGTAGTGACACATCACTTGCCCTCCTGACAACCTTTAATACCCTTCTCCTCAATATAACATAGTGCCATCTTAGTAGTCCAGGAAACACTAAGGAGGAGCAGTAAAGTCAAATAGTTAAGATGCAAGAGTTAACAAACTGTAAAAGTAAAGGCTGAGTGATTCCGAATGTCTCGACTTCCTAATGTAGTAGGTTAGACTAAACATTTTCTCGGAAATCAACAAGATATGAGAGAACCGAGAAAGTTCAAAGGAGAGAACTATTTTGAAGTATTTTATGCTTGACTTAGTTTCTATTTCAATACCCTCTACGCTACAAGCATCTTGTACGACTTGTCATCTGAAGTGGTGACAACTAGTGGTGTCCGTCAGGGATGCCCACTATCCCCATTTCTCTTCAGTTTCATCACAGATGTACTAATGGAATTAACCCTAGCTGACTTCACCAACTCAAAGATTGACTTGTTACCAAGGAATAATCACGTTGACTTAGAATATGCAGATGATATAATCCTGTCTGCTAGGTGAAGACGCTGACAAAGTAGGGCAGAGTCTACTGAACACCTTGAGCTGCAATCTACGAATGTTTGGCATGCGATTCACTCCCGCCAAATGTAAGATGATGCTACAGGACTGGACTATATTGACTCCTAGCTTAGAAACAGGGAGTGATGTGGTGGAGCATGTTGACCACTTCACTTACCTGGGAAGCTGCATCAGCCAAAGCCAGCGGGTCGGTCACTGGCGAAATCTCAGCACGGATACAGAAGGCTCGTTTGGTATATGCCAGTTTACGCCGTCTCTGGCGTAGACTTGGTATCCGGCTACCGACCAAAGGACGTGTGTACTGCCCAGCAGTCCGCTCCATCCTCCTTTACGGCTGACTGTGAGACCTGGCCATTGAGAGTGAAAGACATGAAAAGTACCACTAGCTGTCTTTGATCATAGGTGCCTGCGTTCTGCCTCCCGTGTTACGTCGTATAATAGGGTGAGCAATATTGAGGTTAGGCATCGGTCGAGTGCTAGGTAGGGAGGGAGGGTGAATCAGCAGACGAGGCTATGAAGTTACATCGACTGAGATGATTAGGACATGTTTTAGGAATGCCTAGCCATCGCCTTGCTTGACAATGGGGAATATTAGCTGACAGAGGATGGACCAGGTTGGAAAACAGCTAGACGAGATGGTCAAACCAAAACATGGCTTCATCACTTAATGGAATCCACAACAGTTAGTTCAAGCTAGCCATGTGGGAAGATGTAGACTTCCTGACCAGTTGGGGTCTTCGGGACGGTAAAAACCAATGGCTGGCTACAGTTGGTGATATGGCTCAAAATCGTTCTCAATGGCTGGTGCAGATGCATCCACTCCTCGTGACTTATAATACCCAATAAAACTTTATTGTTCTTCGATATTACTATTCTTTCTGCCTCATATCTCTGTTTAATGTCTCTATTTTGTATTTACTTTTACTTTCTTCTCTTGCTTTGTGTGCTAAGTGGAACGTGGCGACTCGAACTGCTGCACATTGGTGCGAAGTACTATGTTGAAACCAGTCAGTCATTGATCCAGTGAAGGCAGTTGTTGGAAAACGCTTTTTGTAAAGAAGAACTGACTGACTTGACATTGTCGCTGAAAACCCACTCCTTATTTCTAAGCTAGGAGTCAATGTATTCCAGTCCTGTAGCATCATCTTACATTTGCGATTACGTGTTATGTAGGCAAAATATTTGAGAAACGAACCAAATAGAACTCATTTTGTGGTAATTACCACTAACAATTAGCACAATAGACTACCAATCAATACTATTCATCTCACGTGTGTATGTATCACGTACTACACTTTTGGGCCTTTTATTTAAATACACTTGAAACTTGCTTCAGTGAAAACATTGGCGGCTAGCAGACAGTATTCGTCTACGGTTAAGGATAACAAATTGGCAGTTATAATACATGTAAGATCAGAGACTCTTCCCCTAACACTTCAGAAGTGTTGGCGATGGTGAAAATACTCACCAGCTGTTAATATGTGCATTGCAACAATCTCCCTTAAAATGTTTTCTGTCTTACAAACCTTCTCTGATTTTAAGCTTTATTAATTCGGATTTATCACACCATCGGTTAACATTAATTCACCTTTACATTTCAACCTGTGCGTCGATGATTCAAGGGTAGAATGCCTGTCAACTATCCACATGATCCGGGGTTCGATCCTCAACCGACACATTCCTAAACGTCGCCTACTCTACTAGTCAGTAGTCATCGCGGAAAAAGAGGGACATCGAAGTTCAATTTTAGATTCCTATGTTCCACACAAAACGCAAATGAATATAAGCAGACATTTCAACCCATTCTCTTCTGCTCAACTGCTTAAAGTTCTGGTTGTTTTATCTACATACTGGACCAATTAAGTACCTAAAAAATTGTTCCAATAGGTAAACTAATGCAACATGACTAAATGAAGAATCCCCACCAAAACTAAAACTATCTATTACAAGCTACATGGCATTAGCAGATAACATAAATAATTAGGCATATATCAACTAAAACAAAATAATAATATATGCTAAGGCAATAATTACCTTACGCTTCTCAGCCTTCCCCATTGAATGTTTATCCGACATCTACAACGTTAATTAAGAATGTAATTATTCAATTTAGTAATAGTAAAAAATAAAACGAAAAAGGTGTAAGACAGGAAATTCCAGTGTATATTTATATATTTTTTACACTTGGCAATACAAAAGGTGTATTACAGGTAGAGCATATTGGACTGAATTCACAAAATACAGATAAACAAACAGAACAAACATAACCAATATCAATTAATTGTTTATGACAGAAACAGGCAGCTCGGAAGTCAACACCAAAAGATAAACCACTAGATCGACTATCAGGAAGTAATAAAGATGCTCTCATTTTAGAAGATGGTAGAAATACTGATAATAAATACTGAAGTAAACCAGAAACTCTTGGTACTTGTAAATAAATTCCACCTGTTAAATCTGCAGCTTGTTGCAGTAAGCTTGAATGTCTCAACGAAGGTGTAGTATTTGTACTCTCATTTTCTTGTGGTAGTGGAAGCACACATGTGTCGATTGGTACATGAAGCTTTTGAGCAGTGAAAACAGAATTCATAAGCGACAAGTACTGAGAAGAATTGTCATCGGATGCTTTGATAATCATTATTCGAGAAGTAATCTTTTCCGTCCCCTCGCTGAATTCTGTGGAATCTGGAGACGTATCATCCATATATCTTGAGGTGGGCTGTAGTTCACGACAACGTCTAAGATAATAGCATAATGCCTTAATTATAGCACCGGCTAGAATTATTTGAGTGCTTGAGGAAGAGCACGACGTTACCAGATCAAGGGAGAGTTGTCTGACAGTGTTATTCATGCAGCTTAGTGCGTCGTTTTGTCCATCATTCGTCGGTTCACCGGCATGTTCTAGGTTATTTGGATAGATGAACTTTGTATGGCAAGGAGTGACACCGATTATAGCTAGTTCATTGTAAGAAGACAGCATTAAATGACTGTTAGCGAAGCCAAGGACAGCTTCAATGCAATCTGGCAGTCCGAATTCACTAGTACATGAGCCCCACGTAGCAGGCGTCATATCCAAAATTAACAACAACAGGTTCTTCACTTCTGATGATGACATGTTACTAATTAAGCGGAAAAATCAAGGACAATTTGAACAAGAATATTTTCAAAGTCTTCAGGGGTAACCGATGTCCGGTTATTCTGTTTCGCCAACGACACAGACCGTTTAAAAGCCTCTGAGAAAAATTCAACAGAAAGGAAAGAGGTCTTACCTGATAAGTATACAACTGCTAAATGATCACAAAGAGAAACAGCTTCACTGTTAACTAGTAGTAAATGTGAGTCGCATACCAAACCTACTTTTTGTCTTTGTATCTACAAAAAATGACTTAAGTATAGAAGAGGTAATTTGTTCCTGAAGTATTAGCAACTATATGTCTAATACATACCATAAGACAACCACAAGGTCAAGGTGCCGTGTGTTTCAACGAAGTCTCTGAGGTCATTGTGACCTTCGCCGTCTGTATGTTAAAAGAAAAGCAGTCAAAAAGTTGTCTGGTTTGTGGAAAACCTATCGGCCACCACTGCAAATGTTCTGGTCTTTTCACCAGACATATTTTCACTTCTAGCTCTGGTCACTACCTACTATTGTTAGGTATTCTATGTCTCGATATTTCGAAATGAAACTGACCAGTACTTCTGGTCAAGTAGCCAAGAAAAAACTCTACAACGACTAAATAAATCGTATCTGGGTCATTTTAATCCATGGGAGTAGACCATACTGCGTAACGGCTTGCGTGCCACTCTTCCATACACCTTTGTGGGATTCCATGTGGAACACATGCATAATTTAATACATGCATACTAACATAGTGCCCAAATGTTTCTGGGAATTTCCCTCAATTTCTGCTGTTCTATCTCAATGTGAATGCCATGTTTATCATTCCCTCTGAAATCGTCTCTGTTTAACTCAATTATTTTATGTATTTTGAAAATCACTGCTACCAGAACGGCCTATCTGTGTCATTATAGACGATTGGTGACCTTTTTGAACGCTGGGCCACCTAAACTTCGGCAGCCTGCATACGGCCGCAGGTAATTTGATCAGGCTATAATTATTGCAAAAAAACCTCAAATTAAGTAATTATTCGTTGTTTTACACACTTTTACACTTGTATTCCTCCTAAAAGTTGATGGAATTAGGCGTTCTTAGGCTAAATATCAAATGATGGTGTCCTTATTGATCGTGCCCGTAAAAATGGCATGCATTTCATGTAGACTTACCCGTTTATACGAAATATATATTATTATCCGGCCGTAATTTACCACCAGTTTACAAATATTTGAAATACATAGTATTTCATTGAAAAAATGTCAAATTACTTAAAGACACACATTATAACGACTTTTAGTCATTTTTTGCAGTTCAAAGGATTAGACATAGACATGATGACGTAGGCTAGTTCGTTTTGTTAGTCATTTTCACATACTTTGTTGTGTACCTTAGGTGATGGTGTCAGAGGTCTTCCACATGTACCTATTTAGAGGAAATCTACAGAAATGCTTGGGAATTATTTTCAAATGTTATTTGCTTCTTATACTGCATAGATTTAGTCTTTACAGGCAGATCCAGTGTCCATTTTGTCTGCTTGAAATATATTGAATGACGCATGCACACACAATTTAACTCATGGTTTAGTATTTTCTATTACTTAAATCTTGTATTTATAGTGTTAATAGTGTTTAAATCTTCTGACTGCTTAATTTCTTTTTCAAGTGATAGCTACTTTCGGGGATTTCATGGGGTTGGGTGCTAAATAAGATTTCCTCAGTGTCATTGATTTTGTACTACATGTTAATTCACTAATAAATCTATTCCTCTTTATTCGTTTGTATATTCTACTTGATAAGACCGAATGTTAGCCTTTGTGTAGGTTGTGAGGTGCAGAGTATATGTGGCTATCTTTGAAATACTAAGTAAGAGCTGATATTTGGAGAAGCCTTTTGGTAAAAAGATTATGTTGTAGTCAAATAAAGCAAATATATCCGAATCTCTGAGGAGGTAGTACGATTGTGGGGCGTTTCGAGTTATCTATCTATCGTCTTAGCAAGACACATAAACTTATTCGCGATTTATAGTCACAAAGTGAAAATAAATCTACCTGACAGTGTCCTTGTGATTTCTGCGTGTCGCAATGTACCATAAGGATAGACTGTACCTATACTGTGCAGCCACGGTTATCATAATAACTCAAAAACAGAATGCCTATGGTTCCCAGCCACAGAACACGATAAGTTGCTATCTGTTCATCTAATCGCGTAGACACGAGTTTCCCAGACGTCGCATTTAGTCCTAACAGTTTACTGTCAATTTCTACTTTAGCACGTGCTACTGATGTTACAGGAGCACAATAGCATCAGAACAGAAGAGACACAGATTCATTGAAAAATTATTTATTAAGCAAAAATTAGATTTCAGATGTACAGATAATTCAGATGAGTAGTCCTCCGTTACTGTCAGTAGGTTCCATCTGCGTACACAGCACATAAATGTTTCTCCATAAGTCTGAAAAGGTTTAAGAAAAGTATTATTAACTTGGGTAGTACATGTATGATCTGAATAAAAAAATTTTCTTGATAAGCATTTACAAGTAATCACCTTACTAACAATATACATAGGTAGCCATGTAGTTTTCACTAAACTTAAAGAACTTCGCAATTTATCGTCGGTCGATATCTAGTAGGTCCATCGAAGCATCATGAAATGAAAAATTATTTAACGACAAGTTATGCAACAGTTTGCAAAGCTTGAACAAAGATTTTAACAAAAATGACAACGGCCTTATTACAAATAATGAGTTTTGATAGCAATAATAATAACGTTCATGTTCATAGTGACTATAAAAACAATAATAGGTATTATTATCTCAACGAATTCATCGTTAACTTAGACAACAATTAAATGTATCACTTAATCTTATGAAGCAGGTGTTTGCTTACTTTCACTGTGTTCTCGCAATACTGATGTGGTCAACTAGCTTATTCCAAATGAACTCAAGATTAATTCTGAAAGTGAATGGAGGTCCAGTCTATGTCAAATAAAAACATATAGCCTACATGTATTACAATGCTTACTGTAACGTTTGATACCTGTTTTCCGATCTTCGTGACAAGAATACAGTATATGTAGGTATAACTACAGATACATAATTATACGTCTATGCTGCATCAACCATGCCATTTTCATCATGATTTATACCTATTTAAGAATCTCTGAAAATAATAGTCAAGCGATAATTGAAGTTTCATCAAGTTATCACTTCTTCGGAACATTGTTTGCATTCTTGACACTCCTGCGAAGTCCTTAGATCTTAATATGGGATGAATTCACTGAATTCAGCATATAAATCCCCTGTCCTGAGCTGTAATAGAATGTGTTGTCAATCATGCACCCGACTTGATAAAACGCTCCTGGAAATTGCGAACTTACCTAAGCAGCTAAATGATGTTTGAAATTACCGCAACTCGAGTGACAAACTGGCCAATAACAAATGGGTAAATCACTCGTTTATCTCACTCGCAGGCACAAGAAATTATGGCCATCGACAGGCTGCCCTAAACTTCTATCTAGTTATTGATTTATCCAATCTTGTTTGTATTTATGTATCAGAATATGACGTCAAGTCGTTTTGTTTACCCTCGTGAATTTCTGCAATATTTAGGAGCAAGTTACTTTCAAGTTTCAAACAAAGCCCTGAAAAAGCATCAAGGTGGGTGGCAACATGGAATACGCATACCTATACACTGTTCTACTTTTTCTGTTATCATTGGTACAGGTTTCCGTACTCTTCCAAAAAAGATTATATGTCCGCAATCTTTCCTGCCCTCTGGTACTTATCACAATACAGCCATCACGCTACAAGAAACTTGGCTCCACTAGCTTTATGGTAGCAATCTCGTCTCACTAAATGGTTTCGCACTACTCGGACCCGCTCTACTCCAAAAAGAAATGCGATCGTGGGTTTGCGGCTTGTATACATTCACAGTGGTCAATTTCAAACAATATATGTTTCACATTCTTGAATGATTTTGTTGATTATGTTGTAGTCAGATCAAATAAAGTACAATTATATTTAAATAGTTTACACAAAATTAAAAGTTTTGTTATTGGTGGGAGGGTGGTGACTACTATTCAGCGGATAAGATGGTGGGGACTTAAGAGAACCATCCTTATATGTGGGAAAGCGCTGTATTGCTAAGGCTCCTGAGTTTGAATAACTTCAACAGAAAGAAAAAGAAAAGCTGCCTGTATGCTACAGTTTGAGCATAAACTCTCTGAAAACAAGCCCATGGTTTGATTTTTCTACTTCAGAAGGACATATAACTGTATAAATCAGAACGACAGCACAAACAAATATTATCATACTTCCTCTTTTCTTCTACATATTTTATGTACTTTGGAGTTTGGATTTAATTTCTTCAGTTTCTATTCCCAGCATTACCCTATATAGGTGTGGAAATCACCATCATTCGTTTCCCCCTCATTTTTTATTTTACTTCGTCATTCAATTTTTTTTACTACCATAAACTTGTACTTACAGTTATTATGTAACACTATAAATACTCAATTAAACTCAATGACCACAAATTCTTAATAATAAAAAGAGGAATGAACCCTGTGGTTATCACATATTGTTTGCTTAAGTCATTATTATTTGCTCGCTGCCTCTGCATCTCTCTTTCTGTTTTCTTCTGTCTTCTCTTCTCGAAGGTATTGCATTGGAGCACTGCAAATGTACAGTAATGCTGCTTTCTACGTTGGTATTACTTGAAGGTTATTCAGAATATTGTTAGCACATACGATGAACAACGGAACAAATTCCATCGTGAAATCTGTTTATCGTCGCAAAGTTGATCCCTTGTATCTGCTAACACCAAGATAATGCTGTACTTACACTCTACTGTGGAGTTTTATAAATTTTATAACTCCTATTAATTGATCAAATGATAGTGATAGTAAGCTCTGCAACCTGTGTGTCTTCCATCAGCACCTGTGTATCACCTCTCTTCTTACCTTCCATTGGTACGCGGTACGTTCAACGTTTGCGTTACATTTTTGCGTGATTCGTTACATAAAATTTATCTTGTTGTAATCCTTGCACAAGTACTCTACTTCCTCCATACCTATAACCATTAACTCTCATATCAAATAGTTATGCTTAATCAAAGTAAAAAGTAACGAACTCAATCCCCTGTAAATCTGATGACTAATTTTAAGTCGTTGATTGCTACATCAAGCAACACACTTCCTACAAACAGTTATAGTGAGCCACATAACTCACTTTTATGTCGTAAGCGTCGAGCTGAAACTGAGGATAAAACTGTACTGACAGCTAGTATTAGCACTACTCCTAAAAATTCAGTACCCTCTGCTCATACAGAACTCCTCCCTACACCTTATGTGCTTATCGAAAAGCTCCGGCCTTCAAGCTCTGTTTCAGTACTATCTT